ACATATATTTTCCATTGTCCCCATGCGTACATGTACCCTATGTAATGTACATGTATGCATGTACTCCAGGAATTAAACGGAAGAGCTCGTGGTATGGGGAGCATGGGACAGTGATCTCCCGTACTAAATGAGATGACAGCTAGGGTATACAAGATACGCAGGGGCCATCGTTACAGGCCTCCTCTTTCTTTATTAAGTACATGTAAGTACAAGTCCTAACACCAAATGTAAATTATAAAGTCCCGGGACCATCGTGCATGCGTGAGAGGGACTTACATGTAGTTTCCTGCATATATGTAGCCGAAGAAAATACAGTTCAGAGAGAACAGTTTTACCATATATTCTAGGGTGAATTGCTGAAAAACTGATATATGACATGCAACCTGCATACACCATACCATAGTCTTGGGAGTTAGTCGTTGGCAAAAAAATATTCTGATATTGAACGACACTGTACTTAAAAGATATTATTTGTGTGCGCAGTGAGAAAAAGCAAATTAAAGACATTGTTAGGTGGTGGTTGAGAACTCTGCGAGGCAGCTGCCCGTGCAGTTGGGTTTGAGTTCCAGCAACGTCGTCATCATACCTAGCCTTAATTTTCCACCGTCTTACATCTGAGTCACCTCAAAGCTACCTCCATCGTAGCCAACATCACGTTTATCGTTATCAATACCGTGGAACATAACAGTCCAATCGTCAAATCTTTCCAGATGCTATACCTCAGGCTTCAGTTCTCCGGGGGAATACTTCCACCCGGCCTCAAGAGCTCTCAAGATCTACAAAGTTTCCAAGACATGCATGCCGTGCATCCGGTTTATCGAGTTGTGAATGCTAGTCACGTCTTGAAGACGGTAGTATTCCACTAAATAGAGAGAAGCTCTAGGCCTTCGCCGGATACCAATACCCTTACTAAAGATTTAGTCAGTTTATCTCATGCAGTTTACATTGAAATTTCTCCATCAGGATGTTGACAGGAAACAGCCGTTGATGGCCAGCATATTACGGAGTTCTCCCAAAGGCTGCGCATACTCTGAAGTCACACCATACCGGAAAAAAATCCGAGCCGTGTAGGCATGGCAAAATTCGTCACATTGATACTCGCAGGCTTAGGCCTGCTTGCTTATCTAAATGTTCCATCCATGTTCGCAACGAGGTTCATGGTATACCCATCGGTGATCAGTCATAGGATATCACTCACTCCTGAGACGTTACTCCATGTTGCACAACAAGCTAAGATAAGTTCGTCTAATGCACTATTTGAGTGGGTTGAAACATAATCTTGACAGGCCCATCCTACTCTATGGTTGCGGGGATTCTTTTGTTAATAGACGGATAGACACACCATATTAGTAAAATCTGTGTGCGCCTCCCCTTCGTTGCATGAGACGCCATTGGACTTTACCCAATCAATCTAAGCAGAGATCTGCCACCACGATATCAAACGAATTCCTATGTGCGTAGGAATCGAGCTTGTGAAAAAGCAATTACACACAGATCTATCTGTACTACCATCGGAATTCAGTCGCCTTCTGAAACAATGGTTTTTATCCTTGTAAGTAAACCTCGCTGAGTTATTATACACCTCTGGAAATAGATTTCTGATGGATATGAGGTTGGACTTGCGGAAAAACGTTCTCGCGGCAACATAGCCTATAATAACGATACTGCGAATTGGTACTGCGAATTGCGAGTGGAGACACGGATTGCAGTTTGAAATGTTCTGCGTGTGGGACCCGGAGGCTGGTTTTCGATTCTTGACCCGTGTCAATAGTGTTCTAGTATGCAGCATATAAGGTTCCTTTGTGGACTAGTGCTAGTGCAGTGTGGGAACATGCTCAACAATAAGCTACAAGCCAATGGCCTGAGGTCCCGTCAAAGTTTTAACACCCACGCCGCAAATCATCTTTGATATTATAAGGGCAGCTAGGCTGACATTTTATTCCTTGCTTGGATAAAGATCATGGGATTCTTCTTGGAAAAAGAATAAATACGAAGCAGGAATAGACGAGTAATTATGCAGGCCGTGCTTATCTTGGGACGACGACGAGAATGCAGAAAACTGCCGCCTCAGCCAGAGTCCAATGGTTTCTTTTTGGAAGATTGACAGTCTGGCCTTCCCTTGGGGCGTGAAAAGGGAGCGATCGAGACCGGGGCGTTCTGCGGCCTGATATTTAATGATGGTCGCCGCCACACAGCACTTGCCAAATCAGACTTGCGTCTACAGGCTTGTAGCTAGGGAACATGGTACTGAACAGTACATGGGAAATTTCGACTCCCAAGGCCTAAACACTCAAAGGCATGAGGCACGGATAATAGGCAAGCAATGATTAATGGTAGTGAATAGTGGGCATCGTGACAAGGTAGGGGGCCTTGTCTGTTTTTCTAATTACCATGCAAGGCGAATCCGGAAAGGGTTCAGCGTACGCAACCCTACACTCTAGCCTGGCATGGGAAGAAATACACCCTAATGCAGTGACTGCGGGGGGTGTATGGGACGGAGGTAGGCATTCTCCTAGTTCGATCTGATCCATCCTATGAATGGTTTAATTTTGGAGTCGGAAGTCGTCAGGCCCGAGTATAACCATTAAGATGCCGACAAGAAGATGCGATATTCCCTGAAACGTTGACTGTTTCCGAAGAGCGGCAGATTTTCGGCCATGCATGCGATCACGATAAGCAATAGTCCATGAATTCTAGAGAACCTACCGGTGGCAGCTGCGGATGTACTTTATTTGAAGGAAATAGCGAGCCTAGAGTAGATCTAGCAGATCCCATTGAACATACCCTTGCGTTAGCTGCAGCGGGAAATCCGTACGCTAGGTATATCCTGGGGTCGGAAGGACAAGACCCCAAAGGAAATATAAGCCGGGCTTTGACAACTTCGTAAGACATAGAGAGCAAAACACACGATATTATGGTTTTGACCACATGTCGATGTTGCTGACTCCGTGCTATGATGTATTATTATTTTCTTTCAGCCCACCTCGTGGCATGTCAAATCACTATATCCATCTGCGCCCTGCAAAGATTCAGTGTTTTTGCCCAATCGCCCTCGGTGGCTGCTTGTTAACAGTAGGGTGCATATGCATCTCAGTTCCAAATACTTTTAGGGCATGTATCATGTATTGGAGTGACCAAGACGTCTTTTGGGCTTTCCTCCATAATGGATTCTTGCCAACACATGTACACGCGCACGCGGGCGAGTGATCGGACATGTAGTTACGTCAACGAAAGGATAAGATCCCATGAAGGGCAGCCAGTCACAATCAGTTATTAATTGCAATCAAGACTGCACAATAACTTTCCCCACAGACCCGCCTGTCACTTTCGGCGCTTATAACTTTGGGAACGCGAGCGGATTTCCAGAAAGAGTCCAGACAGAGGATCGGAGTTATTCCTAGCCAACCAAAGCTCCAAGCGTTGAAAATTTCAGACGTCCGTTCACGTGCTCGACCTGTGAAATGCAAAAGAATAAGTTTTTAGAATGCAGGAGCTGCGCCCAGCGCTGTCAACATGATTACTCGCTTAGGCAATTTCAGTCGAAAAATCTGCCTTTGTTGAGTGTATTTTTTTTTCCTCGTGGAGCAAAACCACAGCCATCGTGTGTCGTCCGTACATGCTTCCGTCCCGCGGCATGGGCCCTGTCAAACTGACGGGATGTGGATGATGGAAGGATGGGCTAGGGGGAGGCTGGGACTTAGGCTGGGTAGGGGGCCCAAATCAGCTTTTTGACGTTGCTTGGCATTCTCGGCAATCTAATCAGTTGCCTAGTCCCCTAACTGTTTCTCGGAAGATTTCATCACTGCCATAACCGTGGTTGCCGAGTACCGGACCATGGTAACACGCATCACATCATCAGATTCAAGATCGACAGTGACAGTTATATTAGATCCATTTATGGGGGGGTGGGGAGGCCGAGAACCTCTTTTTCTTGAAGGGGGCCAACTCCTTAAATTAATTAATCAAACTCAAAATAGCGTTGCTCTTCCTAGCTCTCACATGGGCGTTGTTGTCGTTGTCGTTGCTGTTGGGTTGAACGATTTCGATGCTGTCTGCACTGCATGGAGCGAGAACTCGTTATGGCAACAGTACCAGCTGCGTACATACATCTACATGTTACTCCGCTGCCACTGCTACTGTTGCTTCCGACGATGCAACATCTGCCTGCGTACAGGCTTGAACTTGAATTTTTGTCGGACGCACAATGTGAGTTGGAAAAGAAAGAAAAGAAAAAAAAACTTGATCACGGAAATTCTTCCCGAGGAAAGTCTACGTTTGTGTAAGTGTATGGAGAGTATAAATAAATAAACAGTCAGGCCAAAAATATAATTTAAAAACTTTTATATGTTTTTTTTTTTTCCCTCGCCCTTTCAACAGCGTCCCAAAAACCTAAAAATGCAATTATCCGCATCACAAAAACCCATATTTCTCCCAAATAATGTATAGAAAAAGAAAAAAAAGTGAAAAGGCTCTAGCCTCCATGAAACGTTAACAGTTACAGCTATACTCCTTGAGATAAAAAGGAAAATGAATAAAGGAAATAAGAATTTTGCTCGAGTGCAAGATAGAACTCCACTGAACCCTATGTATAGACATAAAAGAAAAGAAAAAACTAAAACCGGGCGGATCTGCTCATATCAAGCTGAGCATCGATTCCCCTACCTATACAAAACCGTGATAAAGTCCTTGTGTCCTCAAAGGACTTTGTCCTTGCCGTTATACGTGATCCAATATGCACCCCTCCCCCCCCCCCAAAAAAAAACCCCCCAATTCCCCAGATAAGTAAAAGATGAAGGTATTGAGACAAGAAAAAGGTCTGAAAGACGACTTCGGTACTCCAAGAGAAGTGTAAAAACAAAACAAAGAAGAGGTTTGTTCGATATTAAAATAACCGATTTTCCTAGCATACTTAAGTCTAGGTTGATATGGATGTGTCTATGACGGGGGAAACGCCTAAAACAATATAACAGAAATGCAAAAACGTGTCCGTATTAACGAACTTACTGGCTTGTGCCAGGGTTTCCCATTGAGTGGGATGGTTTTTGGTCGGTATCAACCCGAGCTCCCGTGATGCTTGGTAATCTTCGTCGGCGAGCATTGATGAACCAGTTTGATACCTGATGAATCCGAGTCAGTTAACTATGATCATAAAAGCTGAGGGTAACAATTGATACATACCTGGTTTATATTCAAGCCGGTTTGAGCCATCAACATCTGTTTCTCGTCTTCGGTTGGGTATGGGTGGTGTAAATGGTCATTCAACCAGCCCCGTAGCAAATCGGTGACATGCTTAGGCAAGTTCCCTCTTCTTCGCTTTCCCGGTCTGCCGTGATCAAAATGATCCATGGTCATATCTACAGGATGCCCAGCAGTAGAAAACGGTGATCGATTATCCATCATCATTGGCTGTGTTGATGAGTAGCCTGGGTTCCGTGGCGGCTGAGAATACGTGGGGTGTGAATAGTATGGAGAATATAACTGGTTTGGAGAAGAGCTCTGGTATGAAGGTGTACTGGATGTAGAGTATCGGTGATACTCCTGGGGGGATTGATATCGCATCTCACTGTCTACGGGTGATGTGTAGGATTGTTGGTTACTCTGTGTGAGCTGTTGTGTATGGGCAAACAATGATGGCAATGTTACGGGTAGCTGCGGCCTCTCTAACGGGTCTACATCGAAAGATGACCCGCGTGATGATGTTAACGATGCAACGGGGGGCAAGAATGGGCTCGCTCTATTATCGTTTGCGTAGTTTGACGAAGTTGACGAGACCATGCTGATTCGTCTCTGGTCTCCAGAGGAGGAGGTATAACTTGGTCCATCGTAACGAGAATCGGTGATAGGATCACTCGAAGCTGTCCGACCTGTCAGAGGCATATTGGGGATTGAACATGTTGTTGAAGCCGCCCTGCGATGATGGAAACTCGGTGATGATAGAGCAGGCATACTTGAGGAATCAGACACAGCGCTGGAAGGACTTTGAGAAACCCTTCTGTGTACTGAAAACGTAGGAGAACCCCGTTCAACCATCCTCCGCGGCATAGCATTTGAGGCATGTCTTTCTCGTGAAGGGTGTGAATGGAACTCTGGAATAGCCTTATCCCACCAGAAGGTATGTTAGAAAATGTCATGATGACCAGCCCCCATATAATGAAGAGAGTATTTACCTGATGCAAAGGTGGGAGGGACTGGTCGGTGCCGTGGAAAGTAGGTGAAGGACCCATTGTCATAGTGCTTGCCATTTCACTTCTGTGACCTCGATCGAGTGGGGATGTGTTCATATGGGGAATCCAAAGAAGATGTAGGTATCGTTTTCAAGGCTATATGAAGATTCGAAGACGTGGATATTTAACAGACTTTATCTGCTGTGGTTCTATTATTGTCCCTAACCAACAACCACAGTTAGTCAAACACTGAATGTGATGCCCACAGCGCGATAACTGTCGACGTAGTCCTGGATCCCCTGTCAAAGAAAACGAGCTAGCCCCACAGCCCGAGGTGAACCGTGGAGCTCATCAACAGCAATACATGGGGAATTACAGTCAAAACAGGAAAATGCACAAAACCCCAGTACACACGACAGGATATATGGTGTTCAGCCGAGTAAGGCTACCCTTGAGAAGCTATCGTTGCGAGACGGAAGGCGGGGCACAAGAAACAATCGGACAGAACACCTGCAGTGGTGAAACAATCCGTAACAAGGGGGCGGAACTCAAGACTTCCAGAAAGATGGGATCGGAATATTTATAACGCAAAAGGATATACGAAATGAAAAGGATTGGCACCCACCTTGGAAGAAATTTATGTGGGGATCAAGATATGGTAGGGGGGGGGGGGGCAGGTGCTTTATATCGGGGACAAAACAAAGGAAGCACCGATGAGTGTTTAAAAAAAGCCGGCTGTCAGGCGTGGACGAATCGACGCAATGGCTTTGACTTAAGCCTTATAGAGACTAGGGATTAAATCGCTGGGGGTGGCAGGAAGGAAGGGGTGTGAGGAAAGGGAAGACAGAATCTTGTTCACTTTGGGAATATATGGTAGGTGTTCGCTTGAGATGGAATGTCGGAAATTTCCCGATTGATTGCGATACCGAGAGTTTGGCAGATGGCGACAATGCAGTCAGTCAGTCAGTCAGTACCCCCTCAGCTGGATGAAGGAAGAGTTCTGACACGAAAGGTGAATTGTGATGCCCCAAGCACACGCACACGCACACACGCAGCAACACACAACAGCAACAGGAAGTGTCAGCAGCAACCAGCAGCAGAAGCAGAAGCAGGCAGCGATGGTGACAGAGAACGGTTCACGGACAGGGTATGTACCGTCTGTACCTGATAGGGTGAAATGAGAAAAAAGAGAAAGTAAGCAAGTAACAAGCAGAAGCAAGTAAGCACAGGTTCAAGGCAGTCAAGAACAATTAAAATTGTAACGTTGAGAGACGACCTCACAGAGGGCTTGCTTGCTTGAATGCTTAAAGAATCTCCCTAGGGCCAACAGAAAATGTGTCTGTGAAGAGCGGGAGGGGGAAAGCGTGGGAGGAAGAAGAAGAAACAAAAGAGGGCTGGGGAGAAAGAAGAGCAAACACAGAAGACCACTGTCGGAGCAGGGACGGCGTCATGTCGCGCAGAACAGCTGTAGAGTATGTACCGCTATCCCCTCGATGTCCAACCACCACTGAGCATTTACATCCAGAGTTCCAGCCGCCAGACGCCTTGCGTGGAGCCGATGTCGATCGCCACACGCACCTGGGCCTGTCAAGTTTATCGCTTGTCTTGTCTCGGGCTACTCGGCGGAATACCACCCAGAGGGAGACCCCAGGAGGTCTGTGTATATGTAAGGAGGGGTGCCTGCTTCTGCTCGCCGTCTGTCAGTCGAGCTGCTGACGCACAGCTGGGACGCTCGATCTTACAGGCAAGTTGGTGAGTGAATCCTATAATGAATTGGCTACTAGTTTGTACATAAAATCGAAATAAAGTACGGAACGACCAGACTCGAATACCCCAGCAAGCAAGACCTTGACCATACATCCAGACAGATCACAGAAAATAATAAACCAGGGATGAGGGACAGGATGAATGGGATGGACGAATGGATGAAAGATGGATGGATGGCTGGCTAGCTGGATTGACAAGGCCCTTGGGGAATATGCGCAGATGTGCGGCAGGTTTCTTCATCCTATCCTGGTTCCAAAAGGAACAAACCTCCCTCCACTTTCCATTCTTCTTATTCTTCGACTATTCTTCTCCTTCTTCTTTTCTTCACCTCGGTCTGGCCACAGTTTCCTGGCCGTCGAAATATCAGACGGCCTACAGCCCACACCTGAAACCGTACTGGACTGGTTACTGGATTTACCAGGCACTTTGAGGCTTGATCGATCGGCTCTCAAATGATGCCTCCATGATTGCCGGATATGATCGTCGAACCCAGGACGGGCATGGCAAAAAAGGAGAATGATCACCCCCCCCCCCCCCGGGGGGCCATCTGGGACAGGGCCGGAAAGAAAACAAACCGGGGTCAAATGAAGTAGAATAGGGTAAAAGGAACTTGACAGCTGCTGTGGACAAGGGAACCCTATGTACGTTGCGGTTTGAGGCGGAGACTGGCGTATGTCGCTGTTCCTTACCTTACCTCCCTAGCGCAAATTCCTTCTGGCGTTATCAATAGCTTCGAAATTTCCCACCAATTTTTTTTCAAGAATTAGGAATTTAGGCATGTATGCCACCACCACCATCACCATGAATTCACAACCACCCGGGCCTTTGTCCTGCTTTCGGTACCAATTCTCGGTCAATGATCGCCGACAGTTACTCTCTTTGGAAAAAGAAAATAAGGTCTAGGCTCCCTTGCTCACTCATAAGAATGGCGCGCAGTGCAGATAGCACGTCATTGAGAAAATTGACCTTTAAGGCTTTGCATTGTAAACGTGTGGGAAAGTAAAACCACCACCACCATCACCACCACCAAATGTGAATCAAAAAGATGCTGAACTCACTGAGATCTGACACCGTAGACAGCGACTGACAAAAAATGAGAAACTAGCTGGCTTATTTGACTATCATGCACATAACCGGGCAGCAGGGGCCAGATGATGCCAGCTGAGAAGGGGGTAGCGAACCGAGAGAATTCCGACAGGGATGGGAGGAGCGGGACAAGGGTGTGTTGACATGGTTGGCACTGGCAATTGTCTACCACTTGCAAGGGGGACCCCACCTATTACCGAGAACGCGATACGAACAAGATCTCTTTTTTCAACTACACCACACCGGATCTGGAAACGGGGAAGAAAAAAGAAAAGTTAACATATTTGAAGTGCAGAAAACTCCCTGAACAGAAAAAAAGGTTACCACGCACGGCAAATCTGCGCTGGACACCGAAGAAATTTCATCAGGGGGGAGTATCAACACCCATCCTTGCCTCTGTGTCAGCCATGAGTCTCATGGTTAAACTGCAGTAGGAACGACGGGAGGAGACGAACCTCATTCAAAAAGTCTGGTTAGGTGCACGAACTATCACTTGACTCCAAGTAAAGATTTGGCCCCCTCCACCCCCTAAGTATGTACCTCCCCCCCAGATCATTATCACGGACTGCTGTTATCCGCCCTTGACGTTGACCCAAGCCTGCTACTCTTTCATTATAAATCATTATCAAATTGAGCTAATAATATCTTGTAAAGTTTGCCGCTTCATATCAATCTCCCCTATAAAACCAACAAAGTAATAACGAAATCCGACGCTAAATACTAAAATGATGACCTCGGCAAGTCACCTTGGTTAAACATTCTAAGTAACCTGCCACCAACCAGGTATCCTGTGTGTTGTCAGCTGCCAAATTTTTAAGTGATTATAAGACAGCTACGAGTTATATTTTCACTAAAAGGGACAGAGGCGCCTGCGTGCCTGAGAGACGCGCATGGCAATAGAGCCATCAGCGGATACTCTGGGGAGCATACACCATGGGGAACGTCGATTTGAGACGACTATTTTAGCTTGGCATTTTATTTACCCCATTGTGGATTTTTCGCGAATGCTTCCCGTAAAGCAGAACGTTTCTAATGATTATGAGACAAGCTCAAAACGGTATTGCTATGGTGTAGCCCCGGACAAAAGAGGACACCCGCGTTAATGTCCTGGATCCTTGATAGCCCAGAACAAAAGTCCGGAGTAGTAGCCGCGCCATCCTCTGACCCACGGTCTCCAATGTGATGGACAGCGGGAGCATCATCGTAGACCTCAGTCGGCCGAAACCTGCCGAAAAAGCCACCTTGATAATGGTTCTTCTTTAGGATCTAGTATGTGCTCCCCAAGGTGCGCACGGCTATTTGGAAATTGTCATTTTGTTAGGGTTTCGGAACTATCTGGCCGAATGCTAGTTCAAATCGAAGGATGTGGTAGACATTGGCTTAGTGCACCCTACTTATTTGTAAACCATTTCATATAAATGTCGATCATTCGCTGAAATCAAATGATTGAAGATTCCATAAAAGGAATATCTGTAATAAATAGTAGGTAATCGCAAAATCTCTCTGTTTTTACTTGTATCTGCCAATCTCTGGCGTATTCCCTCGTCAATCGAGGAGAGTTTAGCGAGTAGATTTAGCACGCTGTGCCGCCACTTTTTCCAGAAATCCCTGTACTCTGCGTAGCCTGGACCCTGATGTTCATCCACTTCGTGTTAAATCGGGAAGCTTTTCACCCATCAGAAAAACTCCCCGAGGAACTTGCAGAGTTCCCCCAAAGCCTAAAAGAACTATCAAAGAACACACCTCGGCCGTTAGACACCATGTGGACTACCGCTAAGACCGGGCTACAGCTTCCTGTTTTTGTGCCTCCGCAAAACAGCAGCAGCCGTGTTCGACGTTCCTTGCCAGCTGTCAGACCAGGCAGAAATATTTTCCAAGCCATCTGGCTGAGACTTCTTTCCCCCAGGTGCTTTGGCCTCCTATTCACATGAACCTCCTGCCACTCACATGCAGTACCCAAACCCCTTATTTCTGTAGAGTACAGTAAACCGATGACCGCACATCTTTCCTTGGTGCTTGGTGTGATGCAATGTTAGCTTTGTGACCCTGGTTCAAAGGATTGACAGCTAGGGTCCGTACAACTGCTGCCCCCCCCCCCCCCCCCAGATCAATGAAAGATGCCCGGAACCAGCCTCATCATCAGAATCCGACCCCGTGTTAGAGCAGTTCCAAAGGGAAATCTTGACCTGCCTTTCGTCCCACTGCCTCCCACACACTTAGCTACTTCTAGATACTCCTGAAATACAGGTTTTACTTTTTTTCCCGCTCAGCAGTTTCCCTGATTTCTTTTTCGTGAACCCCCGCACTATGTGTACGTGATTGCCGAGAATCCTGTCAGGCATTTTTGATTGCGGAAGAGCTCTGTGCATACTAGATCGCAGCAAAAGAACAAAAGAAAGGATCGGCAGGTTATTGACTTTCGTTACCGACAGCCGACAGACATCGAGTCTCCTTTACAGTTACACGCAATCTTAGTAGACTTAGTCCCATATGTAACTTTGATTTTTACCAACAATAATCAGTAAACACAAAAGTCGAAAAGGGTCATGTTTAGCTGATTTGTGTTTGCGCGGGACGGTAAGGCACACCTCTCGATTATGAGATCCCAGCTACATGCAAGCATGGTAGAAAGCGCAGCAATGCTATAACCATGATAATTCTAATTCCTTTTTCTCTCTTGAGTGCTTGAATGGATGTAACAAATGCTGGTAGCCGGTGTCAGACGGCGGAGTTCCTTGGCGGCATCTTAACAACTTGTTCCCGTCGTGAGAGGCATCTTCTTGAGAGTCATTTGGCTTAACCAAAGCATTGGCGTCATCATTGAAAGTAGCAGCTGTGACGACTCAGGGTGTTCTTCCAGAACTCAAATTCTCCATCTACGACTAGGAGAAGACGTCCGAAGAAATGTCGCGCACACCTGCTTGCATGTCGCCGATACCCACCTTGGGCGCTTTTGTATCGCTGATCACTGGCAACCTGACAGGCAACAAGGGCCCCACGCCCCTCAATCTTGACCCGTCTGCGCCTCATCGATATAGTGCCAAATGCAAGCCATATTTTTTTCTCTTCATGCTGTCAGGATGTACGATCCCAGCCGGCCGACATACATACTCTAAAGTATGTGATGCCCATGTTGTGTCCGCAACTGGACATTTTCTATCAAAGCTGATAGGCGCCCACAAACCAATCCCCTCCTGAGGATGGGGAAACGATATCCCAGGTCGTTTTTACCTTGGTATGTTTTCTTTTGTTTATTGCCGATCTTCGGGAGCGCATTGGTGTACTAGGCTCAGTTCCATGCGCTAGAAGCTCTCAGCTCATCGGGAGTTCATCCAGCGTGTTCCCAAAATTCAACTCAGTTATTTCTTTTCAATGTTCTGGACTTTGAAAGCCACTGACCTCAAATTTCAGTGGGAAAGTTGGGAAAGAGTCTGGACTCCACTAGGCTCGGAGGAACTATATATCGATTAGTTCATTTAAGAGGGAATGACTAGTCAGCTCAATGGTTCCCAAACATCGGAGCTTCGGCACCTATTATGGCGGTGTCTCATTATCTCCCACAGTAAAACAATGTTATTACTCGTTTTATTGGCTCTGCTTAGTGGAAGTCCATCCGACATGTTAAGAATCCGTTATCATAGCCAGAGTTGGGAAACCGCATCGGAGGACCTAAAGTAGCGTGATATACATTCCGTGCAACAACAGAGATACAGTAGTGGAAAGACAAAGATGCGGCCCTAGCTTTGGCATTGGCAGCATCCGAACTCCGGCGTGATAGACCAGCTTTGCAGGCTTACCCCCGCATCTTCTGGAAGTATTCCCACACGTCAGCCAGCGTATTGTCTCGTCTTTGTCTTTTGATGCCTCGTGAAGTTTGTTTTGTTTCTCTGGGGCCACCAAGTTTCTGAGAGAGGTGCTGGTTGCCATGTGTTTCAGTGAGACACCAGAAGCCCGACATGACATGACTAGCCTTGACGGTAGTGGGTTGGCCTGGTTTGGTTTAGTTTGGTGTGAGTAATAGTCTCAGCCCGAATATGAAAGATGTGCTCATAGGCGACGAATCAATACGGAGGTTGGTATCTCCGTATTACCTTGACAGGATCGATGGAATTATCAAACATATCGATATTCGATTTGCCCATCAGGAACTGAAAGCAAAGTTTAATCGAATCGCTTGGGATTACATCAATCCATCGGTTTTTATCAATATTTGCAAATGCTGTGTCGTTGTCCAACACATACTCTCCCCCTTACACCAAAAGGCCCCATCAGTTGTTCAGATCCATACATCTCCTATAATCAAAAGCAAAGAGGCCTGCTATTGAATGCAACTCGAGCTCCTCGCTTTTTGCTCGGAAGCCGCGGCCCCTACAGCTATGAGAATCATCCACACACAGATATCAAATTTGACCTGCCAAATTAGATAAACCTTTGAAACGAGGTGTCATGACATCTAGTCATACTCTGTTGATTTCTCAGACATCGAGAAAACATGCGCTGGCCCTCTACACAAAAACCTCTGGATGCTTCTATCCAGTCTTCGACCAAAGTTCGGACGGAGACACAGCACGAACACCTTATGATGTTCGCGAAACTCAGAGACCTAACACGTTACTCGACGTTTGGCGATATGGTTTGCGCAAGATAGCCATTTAATGCGTTTTGGATATTCCATTTGAACTAGGTTGTATTCGAGCCACTCCAGTTGATTTTCTTTTCTCGAAGACGATATGGCATCGAAAACATTTCTATTTTGGCTCCAGGTTCTTTGATTGTTTTTTGGAACTAAAATAAAATGTTTGTGAGACGCTTACGACGTTACTCAGTGCCAGTGCTCAGTCAGATAGCCAGAAGTTATCCCTAAAGACGTGGTCCACCTCTGATATGCAGAATTATCCATGTGCCCGAGCAGATAAATAATTAGACCCTCTCTGCGTTATAAGAAAGTCAGCACAAGAATGGCCAATAATTTTTTCGGAAACGATCATGCATGCAAACATGAAAAGTCGAATTACTACCAGCTAGTGCTTGCAGCAGCAAATGCGGACGCAATATTATGCGAATCACGTGACGCCGCCGAGAGCTTGATCTGGCGGTCATATGTATTCAATATAGTATGTTATTGAGTCATGCTGTTTATCAGTATCAACGGGTTACAATTTATTCGAAAAATTCGATAAAGACATGTGGAAGCTTTAGCCTTCTAGTTCCCTTCCTCTGTGCCTTTTCGTTGTGGGTTATCGTCTTAGTTACACAGACTTGACGTGTCGTGACTATGAAGATTGGATTTCCGATACTTATATCGGAATAGAATTGACTTAATCAACCAATATTTCCATCCAACGGTTATGGCTTTCGATAGCACGCATCACATGTATTTTGTTGTTTTGTTCCGAGGTTCAGGCCGCATTCTTTTGGTTTTGTTGGGTATAATTTGGCCAGGTTATCCTTGCGGTGGATGGTTAACAACCATGGTACTCCCGTGTCGAGATTCAATAATTCTCCTTCATCTGTCTCTTTTCCCCTTTATTTTGATAGTTCGATTATTGGTATTTTGTTGTGTTTGAAGTTACTGTATTGTTAGTTGACAAGTTCGTCTGTGATCAGCTGGCAGTACCTAACCTTTCAATCAGCGACAGACCACAAATATTACCCCAGGCCACCAAGGCTCTCTTCGGATTGGGATGGTTCCATCGATCAAATGTTGACGAAGCTGTGTATATGGAAAACCTCACTTCATATGTGAGAAATGGAGATGAGAGCTGTGGCCGGCCAAGGTGTTGAGAAAGTGGGAAAGAGGAAAGAAGGTGGGAACGTTTGACCGTTGAGACGCTGGCTGCGGAGCAATAAATTGTACCAAGGTCAGTATTACATACAGTACATATGGGTCACGCCACTTCGAATTTTGCCCCTTGTACCCCTCGACTTACCTGTACAATATCTACCCTGTTTCTTCCATCTAGGTAGAATTTCCAACAGATTCGGCTTTAAAGATACGGGAACGGGCTTCTTATGGTTCCTTGAAACCCAGAATCAGCAAGAGGCCTAGACAACAGCTTCGCTTATCACGACACGGGATCTAGCATGGCAACAATTTTGACAGCAGAAACGTCACGGCTGTGTTTGCCGAAGCACTGACCCATTCCATAAAATGGTGTTATTAACCGGGAACGTCAGCTAGCAAACGCAACGGCTGTGGACATACTATATTTATCAAGCCCCACTTGAAAACTTAGATCCGAGCTTTGACATCTGACAGAAGTATCCAGATCACATTTATAAGATTTCTGGGCAAGTCAACTATTTAAAGGCACCTTTCTGTGTTTTTGATGGGTTTGTGAACCAAGCAGGCTTCGCAAACTGCCCAATAACAATATCGGTATAGGCAGGGGTTTCACTCCGGGTGGCCCGAAAGGGGTTTGTCCGGATTACATTACAACAGGTTACATGAAGGGATACCGACAGGTTTCGGGTTCATTAGGCATAAGCGGGTTTTGGTGGTCACGAATCCTTTAAGAAACGACCACTGTCACATATTTTCCTGGAAAAACCGTCCCGGTGTTTGGAGGTACACACTCCAAGTCTTCTAGGTTTCGAGAGTTTGTGCGCCAGTACGTGTCGAATCTGCTGCAAGTTTTTTCGTCCCCAGGTTTCCTATACAATATGCATCTATTAATGAAGAGCAACTATCTCAATACATGTTGCAAATGCCATTTTGGAGACAACTACACAGACAGTGCAGAGTTTTTTGACGGGGCCCTGTTCATTTGGGCTACATAAATGTACCTTACCAGGACTATCAGGTGCAGGGTCTACTGAGGGGCTCACTCTGGCCCTTGGACGCTCTACCAAACACACAAAGCTGACCGACTTCTGGTCTCCACCCTTCGAGAACAGCAAAATGGCACAGGATTGGCTGCAACTAGGATACAGGCTCTTTTATCCGCTGTCAATCGCCTGCAGTTCAATTATTACTGAATGGACGGTTCATGCGAAAAACGTTAATCCCACGATTTGGAGGAGGCGAGTCGACCAACTCTGCCAATACAATGATCCAGAATCATTCACATATGGGACCTGCACAGATCGTGGCTTTAGGTTAAGATCGATTTGCGGTCAGTTGTCAAGTGCCGCAGGCTCTAGAACAGTCATTGGGCACCACCATTAAAGCCTCCAATATAGTGTCAACAGGGTTTGAAGGTTTACCCCAAGGCCTCAGGCATCACAAAAGAACGGTTCCACAAAACAGACCCAGGCAGCCAGCCAATCGTGACCATGTTGTTGATTGAGGATCCTCCAACATCAAGTTGGTAGGTGTCAGTTGCAGGTGTCATGTGGGACCAGGGATCTCTTATCAGATAAATCAAGTTTTCCTCGGCTTCTAGAGGTCATATGGCCCAAATGGGTCGCTGGGTATATAAAAGCGTCCCTTGATCGAATATTTACATGTAGTTTACGATGATCATTTAATTTGGTATGGATACCTGCTGGAAGATTTAAGGCTTGAAGCTTAAACTCGCTTATGCGCATCACAACCAAGGTTTTAGAGTACAGATGCCTATGGGACTGGAAGTCTAGCCGCCATCAATATAGCACAACGTAAATCCTAGATGTACGGGAGTTAATATGCACACCTAAATGGGATCTTGGTTACCGATGGAAATATAGTGGCTGGGGTAGTTCATCCGAACTCAATGGCTGGATGTTCCCATAAGGCATATTCTTCCAAGCGAACTGCCGGATTTCAAAAAGTGGATAGGGCTGGTGACGGGAGCATGCTCTGAACGCAATAGGTGTTGCTTTACGTGAAAATCCGAGAGAAAGTTACAGATAACACGTGAATGTGTGTCACAGTTGATACTCGAGTTGGTGTTTTTTTCCCTCTCCTTAGGCGAGTTGCCCCACGAAAACATTGAGGTAGCTAACGTGATATATCAATAAGAGAATCGCCGTTTTTGTCAAATCTCAAAGTAGACTAGTGGAGGTGGTGGTATATTGATTGTGCTTTTGACGGCCATGTAACATGAGTACTAAGGAATATCACCACCAGGCCGAGAAAGAAGGAGGGCGTCAAAGTTCATCTATAAACACCTTTGTCGCTGTACACTTTGGCAGGCGAGGAGGTTAGATCTACGTGTACCTTGCGAGTGATGTAATATGAATGTACACTCCAAATGAACGTTTTTATCTATAAAGACCCAGAAGGCTTTAGTCAACCGGTTGTCCCTGTGTAACTTCCAGCATGAATCATCCCTTATTATGGGTGGACAAGGCATTTCTCGCAGTCTTGTGTTCATGCGACTGGTTTACCTCTGGTTACTTGCAGGTCGTGATGGTACTAACTAACCGGTAGTCAAATATTTATTTGTAAGCAGGCATTTTTTTTACTTGATCAGTAAACCCTGGAACTTGAGACTCGAGTTGCTCCAGGAGGTTTTGGTGGCAAAGTAGGTATCGAATGAGGTTAGGGCTTCATTGTGTGATTAAGGGGGTGTTTATAGAACACATACCAAGTCCCCAGCACGGATCAAGCTCAAAGCTTCCCGGGTGAAGGGATCTAGATATAAATACTCGACAGCCACTATTCGTACGAGATTTTGTGTCATATTACACTTTTGGAGTTCTTTTGCTAGTACACACAGTACTCACATGCGTAGATGAGACTACCTACTCATGACTTAGTTAACGCACGAGTAATGATATTGCTTGTTACCACAAGTAGGCGAACATGGAGATAGTAAGCATACAAACAACCAACCTAACAACAACAAAATTTCAAAGTTGCACTCTCGAAATGAGATTTGAGTAGTAGGTACTATGACTACCAGAGAATCCATATCCAACATTCCTTTGCTCTATATCCTCGTGTTTATGGAGAAATAGGTGTTTGAAGTTGCACTCCCATACAAATTTTGGTTGCAACGTGAATGTTCGCTTACTTGTGGTAGGTAACCTGCAATAGATGGTAAGTAATCGAGTGATATGACATGACTCACTGGATGTCAGATCTACATGTAGCCGGGGCCTGAAATGAAAGCCGAATAGTTTGTTACTTGGTTGATGTTTTGATATGGCGAACTTTGAAAATTAAGATATGTTCTCTATTAGGCCTAGCTAAATATTAGAACTAACAAATGTAGTAGTTCTGTGCCACTATATGTATCTGATGTTGGTGCTGGCAATGAGAATAACCGAAGTTCACGATTCGGGTGTAACCAACCTCATGCTCCAGCTCCGCGTAACAATAATAGCAGGTATCCAGGCTTGATCATATCCCCTAGTTGGTTCCTTACTGCTGCGCACGACCATAAAAAGCTGCGAGGTCTGGAGGTACCAGGCTCTGCCGAAACTTACATATATAGATTTTGGCCCCAAAGGGTCTTGAGACAGGGATGTGCTTCTCAGAATCAGGACAAGTGGGAAAGCCATTGCCACCGCCTTTGGGCTTCCCTTCTGTCCGTCCCGAGTACCTACATAAATGTCTAAAAATTCCCGCAAGATATTATATGCTGAGCATCGTCTGTTACACCAAGCTGGCTACAGCCAGTTACACTCGAGTCTAGGTTGATTCATGGGTTGGGTGATACTGCACCTAAAAGAGTCGGGAGGAACCGCCGAAGCATGATTAGTATTCAGGTATTGCAGGTTGCGAGAGGGATTTAAATGTTATGAAAAAGAAATATCTTGAGGTTGCAGGAACAAGTGCTCTACCTACCCTCATCCTTTCGCTGTGACAGAGATGTGACAAAGTTGTCGATTGTTAACTTCTCATCGAGACCTAGCTTATACGGTCCTTTTTGAGGATTTTGGGAAATCACTCAAATCCGAATCCCATCCAATCTAGGTCCCGAATCGCCTCCCTGATATGACCATGTCTCTAACTTTGAAGACATATTGGAGTATGTGCTCATCTGAATGGGTGTTTCCTAGTAGTATACGTTGGCGTATAGTTATGTTTCCTTTACGTGTATAATAATATTAAAATTTACCGAGAATTTGCCCGAAGAGATAGTTACCCAACCCTACGATGAGCGCGTTTTCAAAACTAGAAGTCCAAATCGAAATCATTAGTTGGCGTAGACGCCTAGAACACTTCTCTCACGAACCAATAAATCGAGAGAGGACTATATCGACGTTGCAATATCTGGATTCTTTACCTCCTAAGCAGGGTTTCTCCACCAAATACCGACCAATCAACAGTTGTTCCGGTGGAGATCATAACTGCGGGGAGAGAAGGCGTCTAACGGTTATTGAAGAAAGCAAACAAATCTTACACTGAACCCCAGCACGTACTCGTGACCACATATTAAGCCCCTTACTACCCTTGCCCTATTGATATTCATGAAGCCGAAAGCCAAGCTCCGTACGGCCGACTTGACGCCGTGTACAGATCGTCCACCGCATTCTTCGGTAGCTGAATCCTGCAGGTAGTGATCGTAGAGTACTCTAGATTTCGCTGTCTACGCCGTTGACCCCCTATCCTTGGGCTCATAACACGGCGCATAACAAGCAACATCCATATCGAAACAACATTGTGGGACAGCTGCAGGAGATCGCCCGTAACCCCAGCTCCTTATGCAGGGAATGCTCCTTTTCCTGGTCCTTTGACAGTCAGCCTGTCTACACTCTAGTCAGGTACGACTATGACGTTAGCATCCGTGCAGAATCGGTAGAGTAGTGATGTTCTTGGCAAACCGTGCCAAGGTTGGAGTGTATTAATGCTGATATTGGAAACAGACCCGATAGAAACAGAGATGACGCTCGTTGCGCACGCGTATAACTGCCGATTGTTTCTGCAGAGGATCACGCGGGGTGAGCTAACATTATCTGGAAGCGCTCAAAGTGTTGTTGTGGTGTTGTAAGCGTACGGTGTGAAGCAGACCTTGGGTGAGCTCGAGGTTTATTGGGTCGTATGGTTTTATGGATCGCCTAGATTTCTGGCTTTGCTGGCACGTGATATCACCGCCGCTCTTGGGCCCGCACCATCAATAATGCATTTTACATGTTTTACGAAAGATGGGAAACGGCAGTAAAAAAAAAAAGGCCAGCTATAGTATCGAATCGAATAGGTGGTCACACAGTAGTATTACAGCCTTTTCTCTCAAACATGAGTTTGATAGGTACATGATCAGTAAATTTATAAAAGATGGTAAAATTGGTATATATAACGGGGCGCCATGGCGCCAGCCAAACACAAAAAGTAGACTTATCGCGAACATCACCTAACCCAAAGTAGTACTAGGGATATCAAACTTAACGCAACAGTCGCAGAATGCCCCTCAATTGAACCTGTTCGATCTGAATGCCCTCATGTTGCAAAGTGCTCCTCACCCCCACCGCTCTACTAGATACGTATTTGTTCAACAGAACCAGATACGTTAGTAGATCCGTTTTGTATTTCCTAACCGGCTGAGGAGCACGCTTCACTCACACACAGTCTTTTCCTCCCGTCCACAGTTACATACCTACTTTTGCCTAGACTTTACTTTTTCTTTCATGCATCCACATTATGAATTCCAGCGGACGTATCTATATCATCAAGGGTCTTTTCAATGTTGAAATATCCACCTCCAAAATTGAAAAGACCAGGAGGCCGCTCTAAGGTAGCCTATTACAGAGTTCATTATTGTATTTTTGAGTGAACAATTATAAACCTCAACGGCTCGTTAATCCCATGGCCAGGTTGTGGGACACTTTACAGGTTAACACGGTGGCATTTTATAATTTAGATCGAACGCCACCACTTGAGAGGTATTCTAGAACTTTCCCGCAAACTAAGATTAATAGGTTAGGTCTACTATTCTTTGAAACAAGTGAATGTTAACTTGAGTCATGAACTGAAATTTGTTCCTCGTCGAGTTGCATTTGCTTCGCGACGCGATCCCCACTGAACGCATAAGTACCAGCTATACATCGGTATTGCAATTATATTATTTCATCCCGTTTCTTTCGCACTGCAGTTTAGACTAGAAGCTCTTTTGTCCAAATAAACTACAACAGGGAAACAATTAGAGGTAAGGTCTGAAATATTGCCTTGATAGTAAATATATACATATTTTCATGGCGAGTGACCAAAGAGTTTCGCACCCGAACGCCTGCGATGGCGGATGACGGAAGGGAGGAAGGTATTATTGAATCTAGCTTAGGAGAATATGTGCACTAGTGGTATATAGTTGTAAAGCACAGTTTACTATGCATATAAAGAAGGGATTGCAAAAAATATCCCTATGGACCAGCTGCAGTACGTATACATCGGAGAAAACGCCCTGATGGCCGCCAGTGCTAGCTGGCATATTGCGCATGATTCAAATAACCTCGTAGCGCAAATTCATCGTCCCAACAAACAAATACGGTAAAGGCACTATAAATATGTGTACCCTGTCTATTATTACTGAGTTTATACAGTAGATACAAAATATCGAATAGCATTGAAATTTATCACTTTAGTCATAAGTTCTCACTCGCGCCTTGGCAACACCCAAACGGGAAAGCAGAGTAAGATAAGATATCTTGTTTTCTACTATCGGTCCCCTAATATATCTGTCTCACTAAGTCGCGGCTTTTTAGGCCCTTGGGCCGTCGACAAGCCTGATCTCGTATAAAATAGCCATGGCTTATAGGCGGGTTATATGATAAGATCAACTACATGCAGAGCAGCGCAAAATAGTGAGGAGCATGTATGCATTCCTATAGCCTTTTAAATCACAATTTCCGCATCCGGCTGAGCTGAGTAACACGATTGAGATCAGGCCCGACGGTCTGAGAGATGCTGAGTGTGTACTATCTACTCGCTTAAAGATTTTACATCCTCCGAGAGGAATATTCCCCAGCTAGCCAGGCCGCCGAGAATTTGTGGCGAACACTGATCTGGATAGCCTTGAAAATAGAGAAAGTGATACTTCCTATAATACAACTATCGATCTACAAGTAGGATAAGGCCATATCAAAATGTGCATCAATCTCTCCATCTGTTGCCGTGGACCTGGCTATCATTACCTTCCCCACCTCCCTTTCCAGCCCAATGGGAAGCACAACATGCAGACAGAAACCTCTACTACGGGACTCGTACAGAAACCTCATTCTTTTCAAGCACGCAAGACCAAATGTCTACCTTAAACCGTATATTGTATCATCGCGATCTGCTGTGTAGTCCTATCCTATCCTATCCTACCCCAACCTACCAATACAATACTAATAACCGTCCCCAGTTCTTGATCCACAACAGCACGGTAGTAAAAAAAAAGAAAAAAACTAAAAAAGAATAATAAGAACCCCCATATTCAAGGAACAAAGTAAGAAGAAGCGCCCAAAACACACCCATGCCCATAATAATAAAATGAAAAGAAAAGAACCGCTTGCAGTAAAACAAGAATGAAAAGAAAGGAGTAGTGGTGGTGAATTGAGGTATAATGAGAAAAAAAAGTAAAAATGGTAAGTAAATAGTCTCATCAGAGTAAGAAGAAAAAACAAGAAGAGTAAGCGCATCCCTCATGAGCAGAGTAGAGTGGAGGGTGGGGTAAAGAAGGAAAACAAAGCCAGCACACAATCATCAATGCAATAAACAACCCCACCGCTCCTCTCCTCTCCCTTCCTCAAAGGAAGAAAGGTCTTAAAAAAACTGTACAGCAAGAAATATATAAAAAAAAGTCCCTTTTTCCTCAACCCGAGAAAAGAACGCCGAATTTCCCGTTAGCGGTAGGTACAGTAAGTAGCCCACTCACAAAATAAAAGGGCATGCAAAAAAACAACCACCACGGCCTGCCTCCTTTTTTTTTTACCCACAAGAAGAACCTGTACACCACACAAGCCCAACAATCCAATTATTTTCTATACCGGCAACTATAATAAATACTCTTTCTCTCCGGATGCCGCTTCGTCATTCGTTTCGTCAGATCATCAACGCCATTTAAATAAAAACGCGCTCGTAAAACACAGTTCTGCCTTTGAATGGTATCTATTAATGATCAAGGAACCGGTTGACCTCCGGATCCTCAGCTGAATAGGAGTCATCGTCATCATCGAGGTTTTCGATCGCGTCTTTAATAAGATGCCCGGCCTATAACAACTCTGATTAGCATCTCCCCTATAGAACCAAACAATGAGAAAATTACCTTGGGATCCAGATTCATTGCATCTGTAAAGTGCTTAATTGCATTCTTTTTATCCTTCAGCAGCTTATACAGCTTTCCCAACAAAAAGTGTACATTCGCCTCATCAGGCGCAATATCCTTCAATATCTTCAGCTCGTTCAGAGCCGAGGGGTACATCTTGAGGCTCATGAGTGTTCGCGCCTTTTTGAACCTACTGAGGGCACTCCCAGGCGCCATCTCGCACGCAATCTTATACTGCTCCAATGCCCCCGTATAATCCTTAGTCTTCTCAAGCACCATACCGACGCAACATACAAGGACGGCGTTGGTAGGGTTTATCTTGGTCGCGGTGCGGAAATGCTTCTCCGCGATATCATACTTGCCCATCTTCTCAAATACCTTGCCAAGACCATACCAGGCGTTGTAGTGACGCGAGTCGGCGGCAATGGCAGAGCGGTAAGACGAAAGTGCCTTTTCATATTCTTCGTTTGAAACATGTTCGTGCCCTTGGAGGGTAAAAGCGTATGCAAGTTTGGGGTTGAGTTGTGTAGCGCGTTTGAAACATTTTAAAGCTTGATCGTGATCCCGTTGTAAAGAAAAGCAGTTCCCAAGTGCGCACCATGACTCGGGAGAGAGCCGGTCAAGCTCAACTAATTCGTGGGCAAGGTATGATAGCTCGACATCTTTCCGCTGGTGCCAAAGGATCGTGGAGAACACCTCCATATCTTTCGTCCGCACAGGGTCGAGTTGTCGTACTTTCAAGAAACTTCGTTCAGCCTATATCTGTCGTTAGTCACTGTATCTCCGCACTCGTGTCAGGGCGCACAAACATCGGCGTAATTAGCCATCTCATATTGAGCTCTCCCAATTGCACTCTGTACCCAAGGCGTCTCCTTCTGACTCGTCGGCAGTGTACTGAACATCTGCAGCGCATCTTTACAATGGAATCTACTGAGGCTGAAATAGCCAGTCCCCAACTTCTTAAACAGATCCAACACATAGTACATCGCCTCCTCCTTCTTCGAATCAGTCAACGGTTTTAACGTCACCGTCGGGGCGGCGGCAACTGGTTTCTGTGCGGCCGCGGCATCGGTCATCTGTTTTTTGCGTATTCTCGTTAGTGACGGATCCGCTGATGCCATTTGTTTCCTTTTTGAGGCAATTGTTGCGGTGGTAGCTCTTGTAGCCCGCTTGGACTCAGGAGACTCTGTGAATTCAATTGAGACAGTAGTAGTGGTGGAGGAGCCGTTACGAACATTAACATCTTCGCTGTTCCCTCCTTTGTCTCTCTCCTTCTCCCGCTCCTTTGCCGCGGCGGCAGCGGCGGTCCCACTGCTGATGTGCAAGCTTCTGCTACGGCTTCCGGTCGACTTCATCTTTTTAGCTTCTCTCTCCCGTTCTTTGGTTGCTAGCCTCGTTTCCCTCTCTGCGCCCACGCCGAGCTTACTTGTGAACTTGCTTGTCAGCCGTGTACTCCTGCGTGCTGGTGCGGCGGTAGTTGTAGATTCCTGTGATACTGTCGTCGTCGTCGCTGAGCGCTTCGAGTTGTCGGAGATTTCACGAGTGTTTCTACTTGAGAGCTTCCTTGCCGTGATTTCAGTAGTCGTCGCGCGGGTCTTGCGAACTGGTGGGGGCTTTTCCGGAATGGCGTTCATGTTGCCCCCACCAAGCATTTCGTGCGACGAGGGATTTGAGGGCTGCGCTGTTGGAGTCTCAACCTCCCCAATGTTTCCCAAGCCCTCATTTAACCTATTGAAGAATGATGGGTGGTTGTTGAAAGCAAGGTCGCGGTCTCTCGCACCCCCGTTTGTAGAGGAGAAAGGATCGTTTTGAAGATTTTCTGAGGTGTTTCGTAGGCCGTTTACCGAAGCGTTTTCTTCAGGTATCGTGCCCGAAACACTTAATGAACTTGCTGAGGGAAGTTTCAGCGATTCCAGCATCTCCGCTGTCGGTTTAAAAATATTATTGACTCGAAGGTTTACGCCTGAGTAGAAGATCCGAATTAGCACTCACAAAGGAGCCACCGGAGGGGTAACAATACCAGTTTCGCACAGCCCAATGAATGCCTCCCAGAGAAACGGATTGATCTTTACAGCTACTACATATGCCTCCACTGCCTTTTTTATATCACCGAGTGCGTGCCACAGCTTCCCAATCAATAAGGTTATTGAAGCAGCATCTGGGATTGCCCTTCTCTCCGTGTCTGAATGTTGACCTACAAGAAAGACAGGGCGTCAATAACCGCCACAATTACCACACGAACCATGGAGCGGGAAAACTCACTCCATGAACTAGTCCCAGTCCATTGCCGTCTACATCCCTCCAACACACTAACCCCTTCGCTCTCTTTCCCGCCACCGAGCTTCAAACAACACTGCGCGTAAACATAAGCACACCCCACATGCTTTGACCAATTCTTCGCCACGTGCAGCGCAGCCTGGTACTGGCCGTCCCTGTACAAACACACTGCGTGTAGGTGTACCGAATCGGCGCTTTTGGGGTCGTAGGCACACAGCCGCTCGGCCACAAACAAGGCTGTCGGCAAAGACTCTGTGTCCAGGGCCTGCCAGATCAGTTGGCGGAATTGCGCGATGACATGGGGCTGCTGTATAGCGGGCGACATATTATCGGGCGGCACGAAAGCGGCGGACACAGACTCGGGCCTCTGCTCGCTGCTGCTGCTCGGGGGTAGGATGGTGGCAACGGGACGGGGTTGTGGGGGGAGGAAAGCTCGTCTAAAGGAACCAAACCCGAAATGACCATGGAGCGATTTCGCAGATGATTGGGGGAGTTCTGGAACAGCGGTAGTAGTGGTTGTAGTAGGACGTCTAAGAGGAGAAAGGAGGGATGAGAAGAGATCCAGGGTGAGGGCTTACTGGGATACTTGGGAGGTGAGTGGGGTGTGTGAGAGAGAGAGGGAGGAGAGGTCGGTGGGGGGCGAGAAGATCAGTAACAGGCCTCAGGGGAGCGACGAGAAGACCACCGTTGACTCCGCTGATGTTGCTGGTGGTGGTGATGATACCACCGGAGGGGGCTGTTCTTTGTCTTTTGTTGTTTCGTTGTCGTTGTGTTGTTTTGGTTTTTGATGATTAAGACTGCAGCGAGCGGATAACGTGATAGCGTGATGTATACGGTGGTGAAGCCAGGGTGAAGACTGAAACGAAGATGAGAATGGAGATGGGGATGGAGATGAGTATTCTTTAAAAACAAGGCTGATTATAAGTGCAGTGAGTGATTTTTGTTGTTGATAAACCGTGGTACAAAAGAAGGTTGTTAGTGGTAATTGCAGTTGTTGTTATAGTTTCTTCAAGTGAGGCCGTTGCAGTCTGTTGCAGTTGTATGTATGGGAGTGTTTTGTGTATTGGTATGATATGGTTTGGTTTGGTTTGGTTTGGTTTGGGGGGCAGGAATAAATGTGTGGATGACTGACGGGGATCAGGTAAAGTAGGTAATAGGTGACGGGGCCGGGTATATGTGATGGCGCTCTCCCATTCATTCACGCATTCATTCACTCACACTCGCTCACTCACTCAGTCACTCTCTGCTCACTCGCTCTGCACTGACAGAGTTAGTTGTTTATGGGCGAGTGTGTTGATGGGGCAGCAGGAAGGGTGGGATGGGCCTGCCAGAGGTTGGGCGGGTAACAAAGCAGAGAAGAAAAGAGGGAGCGTGTGTATGGTTGAATGTATGCCATGGCCCGTACATCCCCTGCGCGATGCGTGTTATTCCTTGCAAATATCGACAAAGCCGTTGTGTAGCAGCCCTGTACGCGCGTTGCGATGGCAACCGCCAGCGAACAGGAGTCAAAGGAGCAATTACACCTGTCAATTACACGCTTCCCTGCGACTCATCCGTAACCCTTGCTCAATCTTCGATCCTACGTGTCTAAGCTGAAGTTTTTCTTCTTGAACATTGTTATTCTGCTAGTAAGGGGGACGCTTTTACCTAAAAATTTGTCCCTTGGAGCTTCTTGTTAAGGGGTAAAGCGTTGGGAAGCATTAAGAATGTTTTTGGCGTTCTTTCTTTTCTTTGCGCAGGGGAATAGAAGAAGATGATTGGGCGGTAGGTTGCTCAAGGCTAACTTAGTATCGAGTGACTCTGCATGATTCCTGCTCCTGTGAGAGTCCTGTAGATGACAGACTAGGAGTAGGCAGACACACTCGCCTGTCTTAGATGTTGAGTCTTTCGGCTGAAGACTCAAATGAGTTACACCTGTCAAAACTGCCAAGAGGTGTGAAAGCCATCATTGACAGTAGCATCATTGACCCCCAACGACGATACCCACACCTGGAGCACGATAGCAACATCAATACAACAAGAGCCATCATATGCAGATACATGTGTGTATTCATAATCAGTAGATAAACCCTCGGCCCCCTTCTTTCCCCTTCTCTCCAATGCGATGGGCAAAAGCAAGCACCAAGTCCTCACGTCATGAGGCTGACCCTAGCCACTGCCAAGACCCGTGACCATCACCGCCACATGTTGAGTCCTCAACGCGTCGCTCAAGTCAACCCACCGCGACTACGTAAATACATACTGGAGATACATACCTTTCCCACCTCCAGAAACACCCGAACATAAGAACCCAACCACCACCACCATCCACTCGCAGCCCCACGATCCGTTAAAACAAACCCCCCACCCCCCCAATCCTGTCGCCGGAGCGCGCAAGGAACCCCGCAATCATGCACATCAAACAGATTATCATCCAAGGGTTCAAATCGTCCGTCTCCCCCCCCCTGCTCCCCTCATCCCCCCAAACCCCCAACCCCCAACCCCCATTCTCCTCCACTTGCGTCATAGGCCGACCCCCACTAGCCAGATATCAATACTAACAACCCCCACCCCCGCCCTATAGATACAAAGAACAAACCGTCATCGAGCCCTTCTCTCCCAAACACAATGTCATCGTTGGCCGCAATGGCTCCGGCAAATCCAACTTCTTCGCCGCGATCCGTTTCGTCCTCAGCGACGCGTACACTCAGATGGGGCGCGAGGAGCGGCAGGCGCTGCTGCACGAGGGTTCCGGCTCAGCGGTCATGAGCGCTTACGTTGAGATCATCTTCGACAACAGCGATGAGCGCTTCCCGACGGGAAGAGACGAGGTGGTGCTCCGACGTACCATCGGGCTCAAGAAGGACGAGTACAGTCTGGACAGAAAGAATGCCACAAAGGCGGATGTGATGAATCTACTCGAGAGCGCGGGGTTCTCGAGGAGTAATCCGTACTATATCGTCCCACAAGGGAGAGTCACGACGCTCACGAATATGAAGGATTCGGAAAGGCTGAATCTGCTGAAGGAAGTGGCGGGGACACAGGTGTATGAACAGCGACGAGCAGAGTCGCTGAAGATTATGGAGGAGACAGAAAGCAAGAGGTCCAAGATCGATGAGCTGCTCAAGTATATTGAGGAGCGGTTATCGGAACTAGAAGAGGAGAAGGAGGAGCTGAGAGGCTTCCAAGAGAAGGATAGGGAAAGGCGATGCTTGGAGTACACCATCTACCACAGAGAACAGGTGGAAATTAATAATGCGATTGACGGAATTGAGGAGACAAGACAGCGAGGAATCGAAATTAATGAAGACAGTAGAGAGGCTTTCGTAGAGCAGGAAACAAGAATTCAAGTTCATCTCCCCCTCTCCCCTTCATCAACTACAAATGACTAACCGCTACAGGAACTCGAACACAAAATTACACAAAACAAGCAAAAGTCAGATCTCCTCCAAGTTGACAAAGTTCAACTCGAAGAAGAGCACCGAGACCACGTGCGCCACCGCGCCCAAATTGAACTCGACGTCAAAGCGCTGACCGCCGATGCCGCGCACCTCCTCGCCGCCAAAGAGCACTACGAATCCGAGCTTGCAGACCTCACCTCCGCCATCGCCGATCGCGAAGCTGAACTCGAGGCCCTCCTTCCGGAGTACAACGCAAAGAAGGAACAAGAAGTCGCTCTTAAATCCCAGCTCGAGGATGCCGAGGCCGCGCGGCAGCGCCTCTACGCCAAACAAGGTCGTAACACTCAATTCCGTAACAAGCGCGAGCGTGATGACTGGCTCAAGCGAGAGATCAAGGAGTGTCAAACCACGCTTGGGAAACGGCGCGCAATCCAGGGCTCCTTGGAGGCAGACATTAGTGAGATGGAAGGCGAAGTGTCCCGAGTCGAAGCAGAGATCGAGAGTGTCCGGGAGCGACTCGACGGGCGCTCTAGCATTGTTGAAGGGCTTGCGGAGGAGGTCGCCGCCAAAAAGGAGGAGAGGAATAAGCTTCTCGATGAGCGCAAGGAGCTCTGGCGCGATGACGCCAAGCTGGACTCTGTCGTTGAGTCTGCGCGCCAGGAGCTCGAAAAGGCCGAGCGCAGTCTCTCCCACACCATGGACCAGAACACCTCTCGGGGTCTCGCGGCCGTCCGTAGAATTAAGGAGCGCATGAACCTCGAGGGGTGCTACGGTACCCTTGTAGAACTCATGGACGTTGAGGAGAATTTCCGTACAGCCGTCGAAGTCACCGCCGGGCAGAGTCTCTTCCACTATGTTGTTGATAATGATGACACCGCCACCATAGTTCTGCAGCAACTCCAGAAGGAACGTGCAGGTAGAATCACCTTCATGCCGCTCAACCGACTGAAGCCAAGACTCGGAAACTTCCCGAATACAAAGGATGCCCTGCCCATGCTCGACTATATCGAGTTTGATGACAGATACAAGAAGGCGTTTGAGCAGGTCTTTGGCAAGACAATCATCTGCCCCGACCTCAACGTCGCCTCCCAGTACGCCCGCTCACACGGCCTCAGCGCCATCACGCTTGCCGGTGACCGTGCAGACAAGAAGGGTGCCCTGACCGGAGGTTACCATGACCCACGGCGCAGCCGTCTCGAGGCCGTCAAGGCAGTCAAGAAGTGGCGCGGGGTGTACGAAGAGCAGCGCGCCCTTGCGGCAGATATCAAGCGCAAGATTGAGCGCAAGGACCAGGTCATCACGACGGCAGTTGGAGAGCTCCAGAAAGCTGAGGCGCGGCGTAGTCAGACGGAGAGTAGCTTTGGCCCCTTGCGGGCATCGCTGCAGGGTATGGTCGGCACTGTTGGGCAGCTCAAGGATAATCTAGAGCGCAAGATGCGGAGTAGAGAGAATGTAGAGGCGTCGATAAAGAGTCTGACGGAGCAGCTGGAGGCGTATCAAGGAGAAGTCAACAGCGAGTTTAAGAAGTCGCTTACTGCAGATGAGGAGCGAAGACTGGAGGAGCTGACGACGAGTGTACAGGATCTCAGGAAGCAGCTGGGCGAGGTGTCGATGGAGAGGACGGATCGGGAGGGCCGTAAAGCGATCCTTGAGGTTGAACTGAGGGAGAACTTGAGGATGCGCTTAGACCAGTTGAAGGGGCAGAGCATGGATAACCTTGAGGGAACTGGATCTGGCCCTGGTGGGCGACGCGGCGATCTCAGAGAGGTCCAGCGGGAGCTCAAGAGAGTTGGTAAATCGATCACTCGGGTTGAGGAGAAGCTTTCGGAAGTAGAAACCGAACTTGAAGAGACCAAAAAGCAGCTCGATATCTACGAAGCCAGAAAGCTTGAGCTCCAAACCAAGCAGCAAGACGAGGCCAAGAATATTGAGCGTCAAAAGAAGAAGATCGAGCGCAGCATGGCCAAGCGCGCACTTCTGATGGAGAAAGCACAAGAGTGCAGTAGAAACATCCGCGATCTAGGGGTGCTCCCTGAAGAAGCATTCGAGAAGTACGAGCGTGCCAATTCTAACCAGGTCGTGAAGCGCCTACACAAAGTCAACGAGGCCCTCAAGAAGTACTCCCACGTCAATAAGAAGGCTTTTGAACAGTACAACAACTTCACCAAGCAGCGCGACACTCTCATGAAGCGCCGAGAGGAGCTCGACTCCAGTCAGGTTTCGATTGAAGAGCTTATCCAGGTACTGGATCAGCGTAAGGACGAGGCTATCGAACGCACGTTCAGGCAGGTGTCGAAGGATTTTGCCGAGATCTTTGAAAAGCTTGTGCCAGCCGGGCGCGGTAGACTAGTTATTCAGCGGAAGGTTGATAAGAACCAGGAGGCCGAAGATGAAGGTAGTGACGAGGAAGAGGCCGCGAAAAGGGGTGGTGGCGTAGAGAACTATACCGGTGTTGGTATTAGTGTCAGTTTTAACTCAAGGCATGATGAGCAGCAGAGGATCCAGCAGTTGAGTGGTGGACAGAAGAGTTTGTGTGCACTGGCTCTTATCTTTGCGATTCAGCAGTGTGACCCTGCGCCGTTCTATCTGTTCGATGAGGTGGACGCAAACCTGGATGGTATTTATATTCTATTTTTTTGTTTGGCCTTTGATTGCACCTACTGACAGGAGGGCATAGCACAATACCGAACCGCGGTCGCACAGATGGTTAAGAACCTATCATCCCGAGCTGACAACGGCCAATTTATTGTAAAGAACTCCCCGTCCCCAATGTTTGTAACCCATTTACTAATTGATAATCAATCAGTGCACAACTTTCCGTCCAGAACTAGTCCAAGTCGCAGACAAAATGTACGGCGTGCTCTATAAAAACAAAACCTCGAGTGTGGACTCAGTATCCAAAGAGGAAGCACTCCGTTTCATAGAAGGCCAGAAGCCATAATTTGTTATTGCCTAACCTAGATTTTTTCTCTTATTTATTATTGTCCTTTCTTTCCCCTTTCTTTTTGGGCGGTATGAAAATAGTTATGGTAATGCGAATTGATTGATTGTTATGAATGCAGCAGGGCCGGTTATTGAATTACTATTTCTTTTGTCTTGTATGCGTGTGTGTATTTGTATGTACAGTGGGATATCTTTTTGTTTTTCGCATTTTTTACTTCCTGTATTGGCCTAGTTTTTGTGGTTTGTTGAGCGCGGTGGGGAGGAAGAAGATATAAGGTAAAGGTTGAGTAAGGTTAAGGTTGAAGTTGAGATCGTTGGTTGCGGAAGCTTCTGGAAGCTCAGTAATGAGTGATACCTGGTGATTTGGTTGAAAATGCTCTGAACTGGAAATCGAGTAAACTAGGTACAACCGAACGCCAGTATCTAGATCTTATGAGTTGCTTCTTTAGTGATAGTACATACTTCTCTCCAATCCAGTCTTAAGATTTTCTTAGGATTTTGGAATTTCTGTAAAAGCATACAATCACAAAGGTTCCGTTTCTACTCATTCGCTCACTCGGCTTCTTGAATACCGAGACCGAAATCCCCGTCTTGACTTTTAGTGCAGTGATATCATTGACCTCGGAAATTTTATAGCCACAGCTTGGCTGGTTGTACAGGCTATTGAAAAAGCGGACAAGCGGCTCTTCTGACATGCCAAGGGGGATAGCGGCATGTGAACCATCGATAGAGATGGGTGTCAAGGATGATGGCTTGAGATCCTGCCACGGAGGTTTGGACCCTTCCATAGCGGTTTTCTTATTTCTTTTCTGTTATTGACGTTGAATTCGAGGACGATAAAATTAAAGTCCGGCATACAGAATCACTCATCTACCAGAGATAGCTCGCCGGTATATGTGTGATATTCACATGCTCAGACATGATCCATGCACCTGGGGTGTGATCCTGCTGTCTCAGGCCGAGGTGTTGCAGAGTATCTAGCCGTGTTGATACCGTTGATACCGGTAATAGATCACGATGTTCAGCTGAGGGGTGAATCTGCTCCCAACCGATCGAATGGCCGTCACCATGGAAATTTGACTGCTGCGAAAGATGAGGAGTTGTGGTGATACTGTAATAATTATATCAGAGCTAAAAGTAGTTACTTGTTTTGTTCTACGGGGGTTGCAATTTGTAGAGACGTTGTGTTTACAGACCTCAGTGGTTGCCGTCGAACCAGCCAGGTCATAAAATAGATTTGTTGGGAGATCCTGTGACAGTGGTGGGTGTTTCTTCGCAGAAGTGCACACACATATGCGCCAAGACTTGCGCGCGTCGTCCTTGAATTGCAGGAATTCCTTCTCTCCTTCTCTTTTTCCCTCTAATCGTTTCCTCTCCCTTTTAGTAGAGTCTTTCAGTATTCTGTTTTTCGCTCTTTATGTACCATTTGTGACGCCTGCTACTGTATAATCGATACGAACATAAACGATATAAACGAGAAATACGATCAAAACTCAGCTCTAACACGGGCCTGCTTCGAAATAAGGAGATCAATCTCAAGTCAAGGGAAGAAGGGAGAGACCTGACCACGGGAACTGACTGCAGTAGCGGGAGAAACCACATGGCCTTGAGACGAAACTCCACATAACCTCCACAAATCCATCCATACAGGGCCATACCTATATAGGCCCATACATCACTTTACCGTCGTACTCTACTCTCTTATTATTTTTTACCTGTTACTTTATAGACTGCCCTTTCCCCCGTTTCCTTCACACCCCCCGTTTTCAACACTAAATAAGCACCTGCATCCTAAGGAAAATTCACCACAATTCAGTCTCCGGCAACCTTACCGTTCCGTCCTCAACCCGGCTATCAACCACCAGCTCTCCCACAACTAGTCCTCCACCTTCTCTTCTCCCACCCTCCCCCTCTTCTCGTCCGTCTTGTCTCCCACATACCACACCTCCGTCTCCTCAAGGACCGCGGTCACGGTATTATGCTCCACCTCATCACAAACTTTCTTTTGTTCTACGCGGGCGCAATTATGGTCCTGTCACTGTTAGGCCGGTTCTTCAAGCAGGGGAGGTTCTACGCTCGAATCATGTCGTGCTACTTCCTGTTGCTGAGTTGTGCAGCGTACGGAGTTGTTGCGAGTGTCTCGTTGAGGATCGTGGGAAAGGTGTCCATTGCTCAGTGGACTACCGGGAGGGCCTTCAAGAACCTGGCCTGTCCACTCATTGGGGTTGAGTTTGACGTGGAGAATGAGGAGGCGTTGGATGTTAGGCCGGCGGTGTTCATCTCGAATCATCAATCGTGAGTTTTCGCTCTTTGCCTGATTCCCGCTCTTTTTTTTACTTTTTTTTCTCGTGGTGGGGGGGGGGGGGGGTGGTGGTTAAGCCTGTCAGGGGTTGGTGCTGGGGGATAGTTGGATGCTAACTGTAGTTTTGGTAGGGAACTTGACATTCTCTTTTTAGGACGAATCTTTCCCAAGCACTGTAGCGTGACTGCAAAGCGCTCGCTCAAGTACATTCCTTTCCTCGGCTGGTTCAGTATGTGCTCTTTCCCGGCGATCCCCAACCTGCAGTACTAATCGCTCCCATAGTGGCCCTTTCCGGAACTGTCTTCATCGACCGTGCCAACTCCAAATCAGCCAGAGCCGCATTCGACGGTGCCGTCAAGGAGATTAGGGACAACAAACAGAGCGTCTGGATCTTCCCCGAGGGTACCCGATCCTACTTCTCGCAGGCCGATTTGCTTCCATTCAAGAAGGGCGCTTTCCATCTTGCGATCCAGGCGGGAGTCCCGGTCGTTCCCGTTGTCGTACAGAACTACAGCCATGTGTTGCACTTGCAGGACAGAACTTTCGAGCCTGGTACCATCAAAGTCAAGGTTTGTTTCACCGAGGAGTAAATGGGGGGATTTCGTGGGCTAATGGAGGTTAGGTTCTGGAACCGATAAACACTGAGGGCCTTACCGGCGCGGATGTGGACAAGCTCGTTACCAAGACCAGGGAGGAGATGTTGGTTGAGTTGAAGGGGCTCTCGGCGGCCAAGATCGAGACAAAGAAGACTTCATGAGGAAAATAAGAATTTCGGTTTCCACTTTTGTGGTGACTGAACTAATATTCTCTTATGTCTTTTCAACTTTTCCGGGAACTTCTGGAGTGATAGATTAGGGACCCCCGGGTATGCGCTAGAAAGGATGGTACAGGTTGGAATAGTGTGTATGGTTGCTTGTCTGAATAGATGCCCTAGACAGGCAAGCATGGAGTTGTAGACAAAGGCCCGAGAAGCGGGTTATTTATTTTTTCATTTCCTTAAAATTTCTCCCTGGGTTTTCTTTAGCTGGCTGGTTGGTCTTTTTTTTTTTTTTTAGTTATGTTTTAACTTTTATTTTTGCATGGGTGCCGCTGCTACTGGTATGTAGTGGTATGGATATTTAGGCACTTTTTTGTGATATCTTTTGTGAATGGCGGGGAAGATGGCGGGGAAGATGGCGGGGAAGATGGCGGGGAAGATGGCGGGGAAGATGGCGGGTGTAAACATGCACGGGAGGGTTGACTGAGAGGGACTCGGAAGAGTTGTACGCCATATATTACAATGTGTACCTATATGGAGCCTTCTTCTACTCTGAAACTGCGAGGGCAGTAGTAGAAGTAGTGATAATAAAACCAAAAATGGCGATGCGAAATTTCGGGAAACTACAAGTCATTGAGCACGTTACCGACAATTGCCACAACTGTAAGGTTGCATGCAATTAATGAATTAAAAAAAAAAAAAAAAAAAAAAAACGTTAGACACATTAAGATGTCGAGTGATCGATGGTGAACTAAATTCGACTAACCACACCTCACGGCCCACAACTCATGAAGCTAATACAAAGGGGAGGCCAAAAGCCGCCCTACGAAAAGATCCATCACACGCTACACCTCGTAGTCATACATGATAACTCCAACTTTCAATTGACCCTGCACATGTCAGGAACCAAGACCTCTAGTACCAGGTACTAAACCAAGACCCCCGCTACTCAGGACCAACGGGCTGACTATATGGTTGGCCTATTCTTACGCGGTGAGCGGTGTCAGGGTGGTAGTTGGGCGCCTCTATCAAAGCTCAAAATCCATAGCAAAAAAAAAAAAAGCAATGGAGCTGGAGGAACGAGATGGTGGCCGGTGGGGCAGGTGTAGAGAAGTCAAGTACGTGCTCGATAGAGTATGGTATAGAGGTCAGGAAGGGACAGAAATCCGGGGAGAGGTATAATTTATCCCCGCCATGGTCAAGAGAAACACCATCTCCAGCTGCAGTCAGGAGGAAAGTACGGCTATTTACACATGTAGCTACACACAAAATATATCGGTTCTTTCGATCCCCACGTCTTGCATGTGTTTAATGGATCAATTTGCTGTTTTGAACCCAGAAGGATGATTTGAAGCGTGAAGCATGTCATGTGACGTGGGTGGAGCATTGAAGACTCACTCATGGATGCCCCCCTCTGAACGCTGGAAGATTTGGTACTAGAGGGATGGAATTTCGAGAGTGTGGAATTATGATAGGTTTCCCTGTATTACCACTTTGTTGCAGTTACCGTTTCTCGCTCTCTTGCTTTATCTACATCCCCGTAGCTGAAAAAAGAAAAATTAAAACAAAAAACAAGCCCCGGGGGGGGGGGAATCTAACTCCATCTCCATAGCAAACGTCCTACTGATACCCAGGTAGGCGCATTATTAACTATGCTACTGGAACTACAGTTGATACGGTGGGCGCTGGAGCGGATGCAGTAAGGATCAGTTGATTGCAGATGGGAGGGATAAAAGAGATCTATACTTCTCCTGCCCCCCCAGCTCCTTAGAAATACATGCATCATAATTCTGCCCTCTCGGGTTTAGTTCTATCCCTACGAAACTTTCAGCGTTCGGAGGGAACGAACCCTGTGTTTTGCTAACAAATACCTCTCTCTAAATTCCATTCCTACGATACTTCCAGCAAAGTTAGGCCACAGCGAGTTGGAATTATGGTAGGTTTTGCTGTACTATCAAGTTGTAAATCGCTGGAGATGGAACTTAGTTTATAAAATGAATTACGAAGTAAATATTCTCTGCTCTTTGATGTACTTGTGGGCAGCTAATGGTCGGAGGGGCGGGTTGCTAGGTTCTGTCTTGGTATTAAGAAGGTGGGAGCTAACTAGCACATAGCCAGACTCTTGTTTGCTCCAAAAGCCATCCTGAAATATCGTGGCGTGGTCGAGTGGCTAACCCCCTCAGCTACGCCGCCCCCGAGTTCCTGCTAATAACTGCGAGTGATATACTATGATTACACAGACCAGGTCACGTGGTGGGTTGTGGCAAGTACAAGTGACGGCTCACTCTCTTTCGCCGAAACACCTGTCAACTGCACCAACACACTGGACGAGACTAGGAGCTACAATGAACCTTAAAAAAATCTGCTGCTCTGGCTTCTTGCCATGACGCCCCGCATTAACCCGCCAATCCCCAGTATATAACTGGACGTTCTCGCGCAGGAAAAGATACTTGGTGTTGTTCCTCTACGAACCCTAGGTCCCTGCTTATATGGGGTACCTGCCTGCTCAACACAAATAAGGGAGGCCCGTGAAAGTGCTGGTATAAACCTTCCAAGCCGGACTCTTCGATTACAATACAGACACTCCCCATCTCCCCGCAAAACTCCGGCCGACCAGTACTCACCTACTTACGAAACCTCACGACTCCCCGGGACAGAATTTCTCAGATACTGCTTACCCCACACAGCGCTGTCTTCTATGTGGGCAGTTTAAGAGGTTTGCTAGAGTTCCAAAATGGTGGGTTCTGCTCCCTGCGCTGGGTCAATGATTGGAAATACAATATATTCTCTCTAGGGGATTAGTAGCTGTGCATGCGAGGGAAAGTAAGAGCCGTTTGTCAATAGAGGTAGATTTATAATGAAGCACTACTAATATACTTATATCATGGGGAGAAAGAAGGTTGGGGGGGGGGAAGAAGCAATACGGCGCTTTTTATTTGCACATGCACCGTGCTGGCCCGCGGCCGCCCACATCTCACCCCACAGAAAAAAAAAACCCGAGCTTCAATTACTGGTCAGGTCAGACCAGACCTGGGTGAAAAAGCTTAAGCGGCCAAGCTTTCCCCCCACAAGACAAGACGAGACGAGGCTTAGTCTCGGCTCGCCCACACTAGTGCTGCCGCTGCAGGGACTCAGCGCAGGGCAAACTTTCTGGGGAGGACATCCACCACAACAAAGTTACACACATTTTTCATACTTCGCCAACTAACCACGTCCACACGCAGTTCAAAATTTCTATTCTGCTATTGGAGTGGACGATTGGTCTACTTCAACAGAGTTCGCGTGTTTAAGACGGCTGCTTTATTCACATCACATTACGGCCCAGCTACTTGTATTAATCGATGGTGGCTTCCGGGTCACCCATCAGCGAGGAAAGGCCAAGAGACATCACGATTTCCGGGGCTGCCACTCAGCGCCGCGTGCACATCTTCTTGCTATTAATCTATACATTGAGGGAAATCGGCCTGAAAATTGAACTTGTGTTCATAGCACTAGCCAACAATCCATAAGTCTCATAACATGTGTCATATTCTCATTCTTGGAGAGAGGTGAAAGGGATAACTTTGGGGCTTTTGATATGATGGGTAGGGACAAACTACGTATAGTATAAGTTGACCCCTCCGACAGCTTTCCATCCTCTTACTCGTCCAGTGCTCATAAAGAAGGAGATGGCCAAAGAAATGTCGACCATTTTACCGAGTGGATGGAGGAGTCTCACCATAGGCAGGGAGGAGGAGGGGAATACACGAGGAAGAGGAACCCCCCGTCAGTTTCGAGATCGGATATTACGGAAAGTTTTATTAACCTCTTGTATGCCGCGCAGCTCAAAGTTAACGGGGAATAGGAAGTAATAAAAGAAAAAGTCCCAAAAGCTTAAACCAGGCAACATGTCCATAACCCAATCGCAAACCAAGCCCCCAATAATCAAAAATAAAAAAACAGAACAACACCTCCCCCCAAAAGATACCAAATTATCAAAAAAAATACCTAGTCTTTGCCCCCGCCCTACCCAGCATGAAAAGAAACAAAGCATTCCCGACAGAGCGGTATGTTGCACTCCTTACACCCGATAGTCGACTTCCTGATCTTGACTTTGTCTGGATTACACTTATGGTTCCACCTACACCACAAGCAACCGTTCTGTGTGGGCCGGCTTTCCAGCATGTGTGTAGACGGAGGTGGAAACGAAACAGGCACAGGCTGCTTTGCGTGTTTTGAGATTGTGGTCCGGGGGATGTAGGGATCGGGGTCTACCCACTTCTCAAACGGTGGACGGGGCGGTCGTTTTCGGGGCTTGCGCACTTTGGTGGGTATTGTTGCCCCGGCATCGGCCTTGAGCTCGGAATGATCATCGGCGTCTTTGGCTTTTTGTTTGGGAGCTGTTTTTTTTCTGGTTCGGGGTGCGGGTATTTTTACTAAGGGTTCGGGGTTCTCGGTGTTACCCACAATGTTGACCTCAATGTTACCCTCAGCGCCTCCCTCAGTCCTCTTCTCAGTACTCTCTTCTACAACCCCTACAGCGTCCCCTCCGACATTCTCCTCAATGCTTACTTTCGGACTTTCCTTTGTAGGTTCTATATCCACTTTTAAAGACTCTTCCTTCCCTACCTTCGCCGCAGCCGCGGGTATTATAACTGTCGAATCGACGACCTCATCATTTTTCGTATTTTCTACCTTTCTCAACCGGGTCGAACGCATCTTCGCCGAAAGCTCAGTACCCTCCTCGACGTTTCCCAAATTGTCTTTCTTCAGTGTTTCCCGGTTTCTAGTGCGCGTAGCATGCGCTTTTGACAACAACGCAGTGCTCTCCTCTATGCATCGCTCCGGCGGCGTCATCTTCCTGTTCAGTTGGGCGCCAGCTTTCGTATTAACTACATGTACTCACACAACACTACAATTAGCCACACTCCCCCCATCACATTAAGTAGCTTAGGCGCGGGGGAGGTGTTTATGCTTATCCTACTGACTGGCAGTAAAGCTGATACAAATGGCCGGCTGCGGAGGCGGGGAATTATCCCCATCACCGCTATCGCCATGAGCTATTATTATGGTAGGTGCTTCACTCCGTGCTTTAATGGTTGCAGGCTCATCGACGGCTTTACGCTGCTGTTTTTTGCGGCGAGGGGGTTTGGCGGTGGATTTGCGTTTTGGTGGCATTGAGGGTTGATTCTGGTGGTGGTGTTGGGACGGACTGGTGGTGGGACCTGTAAGCTGTGGAGAGCTTGGGTACGACGGCTGTTAGCTCTAAGACAGGGTTGAGGTGACGTTGTCTAAGGTGCTACACACGAGACTTACTTAATCGGGCTAGTACGTCATGTTTCGATTCGGCCTGAGGGGGAGAGATCTGGAAAGAGTGGGCTTCTAGCTGTTTGTCAAAGCAAGCCCTTGAGATGGGCCTTCTGGTTGGGAAGTTAAGAAAAAGTTGGTGGGGGGTAGAGTTTGAGGATTGTGCTGGGTCTTGGCTCACGAATACTCACTCGGTTTTTATAGGCCTGCCCCGATACGAAGAGACGGCTCTTCGGCGTCCCCCTCCATGAGATGAGACGAGTCTTTGTATAGTCCGGAAAGGTCTCTGGAGAGCACTAGAATTTGGGAACTTGATTGAATTATTCGCCTTGGTCAAATATTGCGCGTCACGTCATGAACCATGGGATTCAATCATCCAAGTCTTCATAGAACCGGTTCCCTTCTAATCCCGGTCTCGCTGCGATAGAGAACCGATGAAGTCGGATGTATTGATGAACTGGTGATTAAAACAACGGAAAAGGTCAGGGGTGGCGTAGTTTTTGGTATACGTGCTCTGCGATATACAATATGACACAGCTCACTATGATCTAAACAGAAAGTCTGCTCGGCCTTACGAGACATTGGGTAAACTTGAAGTTAGTAGTAATAACGGTCGATTCCCAGCCCCATCACTCCCCTTCCTCCTCTAGAGAAATTAAAAATCAGCTATAAAAAAAAAAGGAAAAAAGGGAAAAAAGAACAAAAGATACTGCAACGACTTATTTCTGATTGAGCGTTACTATCCCCACCCCTGGTTTGAACCTAGGACCTTGTACCTAGGTAAACACTCGGTGTCTAACCCGACGAGCAGTCTAACCACTAGACCACTCGCCCATGGTGGATGCTGCGCTGGAAGTGATACTTGAGCTTGGCAGTGTGCCAAGATGAAGCAGAACCCCTAACCCTTCGATGTCAATGCCACATTTTTTTCATTTTGGATCATCCGCTTTATAGGTACAGTTTAGAGAACAGAGTGACTCTAAGAGAAAAGTATAGATAATTTGGGCCCATGGGACCACAAATAACAGCCGTCACCCTTGGCAAGTGATAGGGCTAAGTCGTTTCTTTTGTAGCGTCTCTCAGGCACCATGTCTCATAGGAAGGGGCACGACTATGTGGTGGGGAGTAGGGAATCTTATTATGGTAGGGTTTCGATCTTGAGGGGATGGGTAGTGGATACTTCAGTGCTGTGATGCTTAAGCCGACTGTGACAAATTGTAAAGCCTAAAATAAAAAATAAAAGTGAAGGATCGTAGAGGACAGCACAGGCTTGGACCCTTTTCGCCTTTGAATCCCTTAGCCGTTGTTCCCATACTATCATAGAGAGAAGGTAAAGAAGTAAGAAGGGATGGAGGTAATAGGGCAAGAGGGCCAAAGAGGAACATGAAAGTACCACGTACGAGTGATTTCTTGTGAAGAAATTAAAGAACACCATGTCATGCCAGATTTACGAAATCGTTATTTTGTTTGCAAATAGCCAGGAACTCCGATTATTAGGTAAATACACGATAGAAATGGTATAACGCTAGATAAGATAGGAATCCCTCGCCCAAAATCATGTAACTATGGTATAATCGCGCTCGCCCGGCTGCATTAAAATACAAACGAAAAAAAAACAACCATACGTGAGAGTCCGGCAACTTGCTACTGCTGCTGCCTACTTACCCTACCAGAAACGAAATAAAAAGGAACGTCGTCGTTATTCGTAAGCATAAGCCCCCCTTACCCCCCACCATCCATCCCTACCCTGAAAAAGAAAGCCTCCCATATCCAAATATTTTGATTTTTTTTTTTAGTTGTAACCCTTGCCCCTCCTCTCCTCACCCCAAGTCTTGGTCTCAATCCTCACACCGCCTGACTCCCTCTCCTCCTGGAAGTTGTACACTGAGCTCCTCGCATCCTCATCGACGGGCCAGAACTCCTCAGTGCGTGTGACAGTGGTGACGCCGTTTGAGCCCGCAGTGGCAGCAGTAGAGTTCGCGAGCGCCTGCTTTCCGAGGAAGCCAGACTGCCTAGAGCTGGAGCTGGTTTCCCTGAAGGTGCTGGTGTTGCGGTTATCAAGGCCCAGAGCAGCCTTGCCAGCAGCAATGCCGTTTGCAACAACTCCGTTCTGGTGGCTGTGGGTGTTATGAGCGTTGTGGCTGGAGCTGGAGCTAATCTTGTTGACCACGGCATCCAGAGGGCTTCGGGTGGGAATCATGTTGCTGGTGTGTCCGTTTTGACGGACAACTTCGGTTTTCTCGATGACTGTGCGGCCATCGTTGTGAAGGCCGAAGTTGCTACGAGAGTCATTGTGTGTACGGCCGAGGGTAGAGTGGGAGTGTCCGTCGTGGATGTTCTCGTTGATGCGGGTGATCTGGGTCGTCTCAACAATGCGGCCATCGGAGTGAAGAGCAGCATCACCGAAGTTGGTGCGAGACTCGCTGTGGCGGTGAGCGCTTTGTCCGTGTCCGTGGCCAACGAGCTTTTCGGCGGCACCGACGACGGCACCGACAACACCGGTTTGCCTGTGTGAACTGTTTCCATGGCTGTTCTGGCTGTGCGTGTGGTGTCCGCCATCGTGAATGTTCTCGCTGATGCGGGTGATCTCAGTCTTCTCGACGATGGTTCTGCCATCTGTGTGGAGTGCAGATCCGCCGAAGTTGCTCCGTGAGTCCTTATGACCGTGGGAGCTGTGGCCATGGCTGTGGTGCCCTCCGTCGTGAATATTCTCATTGATGCGGGTGATCTCAGTTTTCTCGACAACGGTACGACCGTCGTTGTGCCCGGAGCTACCAAAGTTGGCGCGAGCGTCGCTGTGGCTGTGGTTGTGGTTGTGGCCAACGACTTTCTCGGCAGCGCTGACGACAGCGCCAACAACACCTCCCTGTCTGTGGGAGCTGTGGCCGTGGGAGGTTTGACCGTGGGAGCTGTGACCGTGGGAGGTTTGACCGTGGGAGCTGTGACCGTGGGAGCTGTGGCCATGGCTGAGATGCCCTCCATCGTGGATGTTCTCGTTGATACGGGTGATCTCCGTCTTCTCAACGACGGCGCGGCCGTCCTTGTGGAGCGCGGAACCGCCGAAGCTGGAGTCCTTGTGGGAGTGCCCATGGGAGCTGTGTCCGTGGCTGTGATGTCCTCCCTCATCGACACGCATGACCTGGGTCTTCTCAATAACCGTGCGCCCGTGATCGAGGTGGACTGAGTCATCACCGAATCGCTGGCTATGGCCGTGTCCAACAATCGAGTGCCCTTTGTGAAGGGTCTCGCCAAAGTCACTACGGGAGTCTTCGTTGATAGTACTCGCAACACCAAATTGGCGAAGATCTTCTACAGCGTTTGCGTCGTTTCTCCACTCTTCGACAGTCTCAGTGGTATGGATGATAGTCTTTCCGTCGATATGACCTTCTCTGTGACCGTGTCCATGACCGTGACTGTGACTGTGGGAGCCATGGCGGTTTCCAGAGTGCGAGCGGCCGTGACTGTGGCTGTGGCTGTTGTGGCCGTGACCAACAATCTTCTCAGCGACAGCGCCGACCATGCCGTGGCGGCCTCGCTCCTCGTGGGTGGAGCTATGCTGGTGGGTGGTCTCGCCGAAGCGGCTGCGAGAGTCGGAGACGGCTTGGTGGCCATCATGGATATTCTTTACATGAGTGCTACGGGGGTCCTTAACAATGCCAAACTCCTCGACAACCTTGGTAGTCTTGGTGATGACCTCTCCGTCGTGAGCATGGCCGCTGTGACTGTGGCTGTGGCCGTGGCCGTGCTCATTGTGGGAGTGACTAGAGAGCTTGTGAGCGACGGCACCAGCAGTAGCAGCGGTGCCGATGACACCTGCAGATCCGCGGCGACTGTGGGAGCCGCTGTGGCCATGTTCGACTCTCTCCTCGATGTAGGTTTGCTCGGTGATACCGTTTCTCCCAAACTGATCATTCCTGTGACCCGAGTGGCTGTGGGACTGGTGGAGGTTCTGGTGAGTCTCGCCGGTGTGGATACGGTCATCAATATGTGTGACGTTCCCAACACGATGTCTGTGAGAGTCCTCGCCGACACCTTCTCTCCACTCCTCAACCCTTTCACGAGCAGTGTGGACCATGGCGTTTCCATGTTCATCGTGCCTCTCCCTGCTCCTGTTGCGTCCATGATGGATCGCCCCAGCCGCGAGACCGGCAACAGCAGTAGCGGCAGCAGCCTTCATCTTCATGCCATCATGACGACGGGTTTCTTCTGATTGGTGGCCTGTAACCTTTTCCTTCCCGGCTTCAATGAGATGTGTGACTTTGTGGCCACCCTCAATAGCTTTGTTCAAGATCTTCTTTTGGCGGGGACCGGCTTTCTCGTATGCCTCCTTTGCCATAAGCTTGGTAGTTGCCTGGAAGCTGTGGTCCTCGGTGCGGTTGTAGGCGCGCATCACGAAGTAGTAGAGCGAAAGGATTGTGCGATGAACAGATTCCTTGATTACCATTGTGATTCCTATGTCACCATTAGCTACAATTTCTCTAAAAGGTGCTCGGGGGTACAACTGGACTTACCGCTTGATACAAACCCTCGAAGGAGCTCCCCAAGTACACCCTCATAAAGCCCTGCGATACCCTCACGTTTGAAGATCTCCGCCAATACCTGAATGAGGTTCCCAGCACTCCTCTTCCGCTTTGCTAGCTTGTCCTTGAGCACTCGACCAGCCTTCCCAACGCTAGTGATCTCCTGGAACCGTAAACCGTCTTCCTCATTTGCGACCTGCGCCCTGCTCTTCGCAACTGAAAGCGGATATGTTAAACCCGTTGCGATAGCCTTTGCAACCGCAGCAATCAGGAATGTTTCAGCGCCCTTCATTTGCCTCCTGTTTCCGCCTGCAAAGTTCTTGAGCGATTCGTAGATCAAGAATGTCATTGTCGGGTTCAGTGACAAGAACATATTGGCAGAGTAACCTGACCAGAACCCAGTAATGCCCTTTTCCCGCATGATATCATGGTAGATTTGCACAATACCAGGCGCTTTTGCATGGGGGTAGAGCATTGCATGGGTTTGCTTCCTGGTTGAGATATTGTTGAAGGGCGTTAGGAAGAGGCGCGATGCGGAACCAGCAACAAGGCCGATTAAGAGCTCTTCTAGGACTGGAAGCTTTTGGGTGTGGCGCTTGTGAAGGCGCTTGTTGCGGATATAGCTATCTATTGGCTGTTAGCACCGAGATTTTCGGGGAGTCGGCGGGCTTGAATACTTACAGGTAGCGTAATACCAGAATGCAGAGCCCAAGGTACCAATGGTCTCCTCTACAACACCTGTATAAAAGCCTCCTAGACCTTCCTCCTCCCAGATCTTCTTTGCACAATCAATCACGCCGTCATAATGCTGATTATATTCATACTCCTCAACGGTCTCTTCCCAGTCTTCTTCGACCATGACACCATCCGGCGTAGTATAGGTTTTTGAACCCTTTGAGCTAGCCCTCCGACCCCCGCTTTGTCTGTTGTAGTCATCGTCCCTCTCGTCTGGGCCTAGACCCATATGTTCTGGTGAATTATCTCTACTCCGTCGACCTGTTCGTGACCCATGGTGTCGAGGAGACTTACCACCACTGCGCGACTTCTTCTGCATACGGATCTGGTTGTGGATATGTCGCTGGACCTGGAGACGCTTGACTACAATATCGAGAGGGTGGGTCGCGATACCCGCGATTGAAGAGCCAACGGCGCCAGAGAAGGCCTGGACGAGTGCAGGGACCGCATTCTCTCCGAGGCGGTGATGGTGCTCCGTATGGTCGTGGCTGTAGGTGCGGTTGTGTCCGTGACCAAGTCCATGTCCATGTCCGTGGCTTCCTGGGGAGTGGATGTGGTTGTTGTGAGAGTCGCCATGCTGGATAATTTCTGTTGTTCTAGGAATTGTCAGAATCGCATTAGGATGGAAAGAAGAAGATATGTTTACTTGACGTGGTAGGTGTCGTAATCATCCTGTGCGCAGTACCGTTAGAACTTGCATACCAAAAATCATTGGCGGCGCCGGGTGATACGATGTGAAGGAGGAAACTAACATGACCAGTACCAATAACGCTCTCGTTAGACTCGTAGTTCCGAATTGAACGAGCCATGTTTGCTAGGTGGTAGCCTCCACGTGACAACGAGATGTAAACAAATCAATTTGTGTCGCAAAGAAAGAAGAGTGCCAGACAGACAATCGACCGAAGTCGAAGTCGAGGTCAAAGTAGAGCTCACGATTGCAGGTAACTATGTAACTACTACTGTAAATAAAAACTCAGGTGGACCAGTGGGCAGGGCCGGGGCAGTCCCGCTCCTTTATGGGTTTGCGCGGCGAATCAAAGAGGAGGGAGGGAGGGCACATAGAGGCCGGGGAGTGGACCACCCACGTCACGGCGAGAGGGAAGCGTGCAGGTGTGTGATACGGATTTGATTCTTGTCACTGGCTGCAATTATTGGCTCCGGGCTTCTTGGATGGCTGGGCCGGCCAAAGTTGAAGCCACTGCTCGCTGTATGTGAAACCTACTACAGTAACGATGGACGACGACGTCAACAATAGCCGCGATTGCAAATCAATTGTATCTGTGCCCCAGCCTCCAGATATATATTTATCGTGGTTGCTCTTCCTCTACCGAAGATGCAATTTCGCAGTTTGTGGGTCGGTCGATAGGCGCCTAAGGGCAGCTTCTTGTAACCCATATCGTTGAGATTGTTACCTGCTCTCATAGCAGTCCACCCTTCAAACTGAAAGGTTGAATCATCAAGTATTCAATAATGAAGGCTTAGACAGTTTTATCAAGGAGACAAGAGACACCAGGTGCACATGGGTGATTTCCTACCTCATGCAGATATCAACCCCACTAAGCCGTAGCGAGCGCGCATCAGCACCAACTTCCCTGTCAAGCGTACTCGCTCACTCCCATCCCTCCCTGGCATATGAGCATGAAAAGACAAGTGGCTGCTGCCACTGTAATGCGGTGAGCCAGAGTAAGAGGGCACCAAGGCAAACAGAAAAGAAAATAACAGAATTGATGCTCTTCAGTCGCTGGAGACGAAAAACAAAAAGGTAAGGAGGCCGATATCACAAACGTCCTCCCACCAATGGGTTTTCGGCTTTCAAAGTTTACATAGATCGGCGGCCTCTTCCCTGTTACACGCGAGATGCGGAAAATCATTTGTTTGTTTGTTGTGACAGGGGGGACGCGTGCTCAAGAGGTAAGAGGAAGAGAGCTCAATGGTCTGTAGGTATCCTTGCCCAGCCAGTGAGTTGAACATGCAATTCTTATCCCATCCAGAGCTCGACTTTCCTTCCGCTCGGTAGCTTAATCTCTACTTCCTTTCTCTCCAATCCCAAGAACCGGTTCTTCCTTGCATCATCTGCACGCGAGAAATCGACAGCTTCTCTATCGTAGTGGCAGGAGAAAGTGCCTAGAGTAGCAACATAGATTCGTAACCCACGTTCACCGCTACCATTATCTCGATCGGTCGGCCATAAATGCGCACATCAAACCTAAATGCAAATTCTCAGCTGAAATTATTCTTTTCATATACTTTGCAAGTTTGAAAATCGGTCGTCTGGATCTCAATTCTAGGCCTATTGATATCATGCATTTACCCCAGCTTCAGCTGACCCGGCCTGGCCGGGGATTCCCGATTGTGGTAGATTAAGTCCTCTCTTCGTCTCTCGAGTCCATGAGAAGAGAAAGGAACTGCTTGACACGAGCAAATGCAGGGCCATATCATAGGTTCTATTATATACGAGCTTCATCACACACGGCAGAGAATTTTGTCGTTCGTGGGTTGCTCAGGTTTCTCGGATGCTAGGTTGGACTGTGCTGTCCATGTCTTACATTAAACATGGGCATGCGAGCGATAACGTGACGAGACATAGGGACGTGCATTACATCATATGCCGCACAGCAAAAGCCAAAATTAAAACTAAGAGCTCGTTTGTCTGAACTGTAGGTACAAGGTACCTGTATGTATCGAGCTAGGGCTTGAAGTTGTGGATACCTCGAGTGGATTTAAAACGAGGCATGAACCGTGGCCTCGGAGAAGATACATAGGTACACATCTAAATCTCCGATTATGATCATGATCATACGCCAAAACGCCATCTGGCGTCTATAAGAGATCTTTAATTGAGGTACATCGATAGAGTAGATCCAGCTCGGTAGTCCCCCAAAGACGCCTCCATTGACACAACTAGCGGCATGGGTATCTTGCAGACTAAGAACCGCATCTAGATCTACGCTCGCGTATGACAGGTTCTTGAGAGAGGTTTTACTCGAGCTGAAATATCCAAGTGCTGTGATTATACTGAACAAAAGGCCAATCCGATAGAAACATCACCTATTCAGCCCTAGCCTGGTGCCCAGAAAATTCAGCATTCTGCCCTAAGGATACGTTCCCTTCTCTTGCTTGCATGTAGGTACATGTATTATACGTAATGTAGGTACTCCGCCCTTGTGCAGGAAGATATTGCGATCCGTTCCAGGTTCTAGAAATCGGACTTATCATCAAAAAGAAGGCAACCAAAAGCTCCCGGAAATAAAAGTGCCTGTGAAACCTTAGACCCTGGTGTATCTGATCCTGCAAATAACTCAAGCCGATGTTAAGCATTGACGTCCCAAAGGTTTCAAGACTCATTGCATAAGGAAGAGGCTGAATTAAGCTTTGGAGAAGCTCCGCGAGATCACCAGAAGTTACACTACTTCGCATAAAACCTAACCCTTGATCCAGGCACAGGATTAAGAAGTTGATAGCAGCGAGTTTTCAAATCACAGGATACTCTCAAGATTATGTGATCCATATCAATTAATTATAAGACATAGATACATGTATCTAGCCTTCATAGACAGAATACTCCAATCTTGGCTTGTTTGACTTCAAGTTGTTCGTCACAACTCACCCATGTGGCTGGGCCCTCCAGCCACGTGTCGCTGTAAGAGGCAAGTCGGACGCAGGGACAAGACTCTGACAGGGTCCTCATCAGCCACGATAGATTAGCTCCGTAGATAATACCTGTTCTCTTTCCACTTTCACAACTCATTCATAGACAACCTTATTCACAATTCTCCCAGATAAAATTCCGATAGAATGACGGTACAGGAAACTAAAGGTGCCGAAGCTTTCCACGATGGCTATCAGCTCACCGACAAGGACGCCAAGCAGCTCGAAACCCCCGATGAGAGCTTCAAGCTAATGACATGGGAGGACCTGAGACTAATTATCGGTTAGTATAGCTGTCGCACTTTACCAGCCGGGGCGTAGGCTAATTATAAAATCAATAGAGAACAATACGCTGGAGGATCTGAAAAGGGTCCCGTCGGATTTGAGACGGTATATTTCCTGGTCCAAGAAAACACGGGAGGAGTATGGCACTATTCAGGCGTTTGTTTTGAAGGAACGCTTGGGTTGGAAGGACTTGACACCACAAAATTTGACGCCGTTCGAGTGTGAAGGTTAGTTCTGCGCTATTAGAAACCTATGTGGAGGTGAAGCTAATAAGCTTCAATAGCGGATACGAAGGTGTTAATTAACGACTGGCCTTACGGAAATGCACCGGGTATATGTAAGCTTAATTATCCCCTAGTTCGGGTTTGTGAGTGATACTAATATTATATCATCATATTCTAGTGCACATTGTCTGCTGGACAAAAGCTCCAATTGCCACACAACCGGATTCAATCCCCGCGGGCGACCTCACGCCCGAATCGAGAGAGATAATAGATAGCTATATCAACCGGACATTCAAGCAACACCTGGGGAAGGAGAATGTGCTATGGTTCAAGAACTGGGCCAGTATCCAAAGTGTGCGGAGCGTGGAGCACATCCATGTGCTTGTCAGGGGAGCAAGTGAGGAGTTCTTGAAGTCGGTAATTGGAGCAGAGGGTGATGGACTAAAAATCAAAGGAATTGGCCAACTGGAGAAGGAGAAGGAGCAGGGGCAGTGCTGCGAGTGATAGATTGTGTTTCAACACTCATAAATGAGGATCCAGAGCGAGCGGGTGGGGATCAGCAATAGATGGGTCACCAGATCGTATAATTGATAATGGGAATAAAGAGAGGCACTGTGGGGTGTATGGGCATACCGTACGCGTGTTCCCGGACACAAAGGCCCCAAGAAGCCAAGTATTTTTTGTTGCTGTTGTCTGGTAACCATAATTTATAGATAGAAGTAGAAAGCGGGGAACGTCATAGAATATCCTAGGTTATAATTAAACAAATATCAAGCTGCTTGGAGGTTAAGATGGAGTGATCGATGGCTAACGACCGAGACCACCACCTTTCTTGTTCAGCACACATTTTCTTGCCGAGTAAAGCTGGCTTGACCAACCCTGTCTGTTGATTGAGGATCCAGAAATGTAACCACATGTATTGCAAAGGACGCAGTGGTGTGATGTGTCGGCCAGTATGGTGAGTAGTCTATCTGTCTTGAATCTTCAGTTGGAGCTTGGCTCTTTTATTTCGTATTTTCTTAGGGTGATTTTTGATATCCAATAGACAAACTCGCTCGATAGAATCCAAACGAAAAACAAGGCAGAATATCTTTTGCTATTCTCTGCGAAAGTATGCGATTGCCCATGTATGCGCCGGTACCATCCTATGCGTCGGGTAGGAAGTCCTCGCATATTCATGTAGTTGTACCAATAAAACTCTCCTAGTCTTCAATAGAAGGTAAGAAGCATTGTGAGTTGAGTATAGAAATGGGCGCAACTCTTGTCCCTACCCTAAGGAAATAGATATTTCCAATCTCATAGAATAGTGTCGTGTTCTATCTTTGGTGTTCCTGTTGTCGCGGGTCGCAGTTGCTCTCTAGAATTAAGAGGTGGTAACATGACTAAGCGGCCAAGACCTGAAGCCAAACAGACGGATTTTGGGCCAAAAAACCCATACAAATATTCTTGGGAAAAGTGAGCGAGATTCAAGGGGGGTTTGTAGGGTGGTTTTTTTCGGCGAGGGCAGGCCCGTTGTCATGCGGTTTCTCCCTTCCTGCCTCTCCCATTATTTTTCGCCTGCGCTGCTCCCTCGTACCCCGTTGATCTGGCAGTGCCCTAAAAGACAGGTATAAATACCCTAATACCCACCCTCTTGACTGTCCACTTCTTCTTCCCTTTCCTTCTTACGCCCAACGACACACGATAACTCATCACCAACCCAACGACCACCAACGCGTCTCTTTTTTCGCAACAAAAACTGTTTTCAACGTAGTACAAGCTTCAACTAATTAACATTCATCATGACTGGACGTAAGTTATCTCCAACACTTGCTCTTTCTTTCCCTCTCCCCTTTACTTCCATGTTGCCGCTCGTGGTCGCTGTCGTCGCTGTGGTCACACAGTGACGTGAGTGAGCTCGGCGTCACGACGCGTCGCTCCCCAACAACCCCGGAGCTCTCTATTATCAACAGCTTGCTAACATGTCTCTACCATCTAGGCGGAAAGGGAGGAAAGGGTCTCGGAAAGGGTGGTGCTAAGCGTCACAGGAAGATTCTTCGTGACAACATCCAGGGTTCGTTCCCCATCCATCCATCTGCCTTCTATTTATATATTCTAACTTTTCTTCGTATAGGTATCACCAAGCCTGCTATCCGTCGTCTCGCTCGTCGTGGAGGTGTCAAGCGTATCTCTGCTAGTTCGTACCCCCTCCACCAAGCTATCAATTTATCGTAAATACATACTAATCAATCTTCCTTTAATTAGTGATCTACGAGGAGACCCGTGGTGTCCTCAAGACCTTCCTCGAGGGTGTCATCCGTGATGCCGTCACCTACACCGAGCACGCCAAGCGCAAGACCGTCACCTCCCTCGATGTCGTCTACGCCCTCAAGCGCCAGGGCCGTACCCTCTACGGTTTCGGTGGTTAAAGTACCACAGGAGGAAGGATCGGGTTTTTACTTTTTCTTCGTGTACCACCAGTTGTAGTTTCCCCATTATCTCATAAATCAATTGCGAATAATGGCCTCTTGTATTTGTCTAATAGCTTTCTTCTTTTTTCCTTTGCTCTCTCGCAAAAGGGGAGCTTTGGAAAAAAGACAATGATAAAGTCGGAGCCTTTGTTTTGTTGACAATTTTTGTCCTGTCCTTTCTTGTTACTGGTTACTTGGGGGTGCGGGGTGGTGTTTTTTTGATGTTCTGTGTTTCGTGTAATTGGCTAGTTTGAATGGATGCCTGGATATGAAAACTGCCTGCCTGTTCGCTGTTCGCTGTCACTGTAGACTCTTGTGCGGCCCTGAAACCACTTTTATCCTTTAAACAAAAGGTGGGATTCCCTTAGACCCCGAAAACTTGTCGGAATCACCTGTGCTTCGTAGTAATCTAATCGCCTATCCCCACCGTTCTATGTTCTCTCTTATCGTTGTCTGGTGGTTGCCAAAGCTCCACCACGCATTACACGCTGCACATGACGTTACAATTGCGCAACCCAAATCATTGGCAGAGGGACCATCATGTATGTAGTAAATAATTACCATCAACTCTAATTGCTCGCATTCGCATTCGCATTACCCATCCCATCCAACCCATTATAATTCCCGAAGCCTATCTATCCTATACTCCAGGATACTTTCTAGCCATCATGGTATATTAAACCCCACCCCAACCAACCCACCGTCCGTCCGTCCGCATGTCATCATACAAAAAAAGGGTCCAACAACAAAAAAAGCCCGCTACCATTACTGGTACCTAATCTTCTGCCCCCCGCGCTTCTCCGACTTCTTCTGGCGATTACTCATCCCCGCCGCCGCCGCCGCCGCCGGCGCGCTGGGCGGGCCCTCGGGCGCCGCGGGCATCCCAGGCATCATCCCGTTCCTCATGCCGTTGTACGTCGAGACGGCCAGGTATCCGGCGTACGCCGGCACAATCGCCTATTCCTCCCCCATCTTCCGTCAGCACCAACCCAAAAACCAGCAGTAAAAAAAAGAAAGAGGAGAAAACATACCCACAGCCACCACGCCCACTCCCCCGCAACGCCCACGAGGCCGAGGACGACCCACGTGGCGTACACCACGTCCCAGAGGTACTCTGTGACGCCCTTGGCCTCCATGTCCTCGCCGGGGCCGCGCAGCTCGCCCGTGGGCGTGTAGGTGGGGCGCCCGAGGCGCTCGAGGTAGTACTCGATGACGAGGCTGGGCAGCGTGAGGATGAGGTACTTGGCCCAGGAGCCGTGGCGGAAGAGGAGGCGGTAGAGGATGAAGAGGGCATGCAGGGAGGCGGTGATGGTGTGTGTGCGTGTGAGGGCGCTGGCGTTGGCGCGGGCGAGGGATTTGGAGGCTTTCTGTGGCGGAGGAGGGGGGTTAGTAGGGGTTTTGGAGGGGGGAGGGGGAGGGGGAGGGGGAGGGGTAGAAGGGGGAGGTACGTTTGCCATTGTTGTTGCTGGTGTGGCGGTGGGAGTTGTGAGTTGCGGGTGGTGAGCGCAATTGGGGTGGTGGTGGGCGTGGAGGTGTTGAGTTGGGCAGGTGAACTGTTGGGAGCAGAGGAGCGAGAGTGACGTTTGCGCGGGTTGGGTGAGCGCGCTATCTTATCTGATCAGTACAAACAACAGATCAATAGCCCACACGGGCAGGTCCACCCAACAGGACACATAGCATCTCGGAGATACGATGTTCCGGCCTCTGCTGCGGCGCCAAATGCAGATCTGGGACGGGGGGTTGGGGTGCTCGTGGGTGCGCTGTGCGGTTTGGCCGCTTCGTTGGTGATTGGTGTGGGGTTTTCGGGGAGATGCGAAAAAGGGGTCGGTTGGGTCATTGGTACCGGGCGAGTGATAGTTTGTGACCCGATGAGGGGTTTGGTTTGGTGGGGGGGGGGGGGGTTATGGATCGGAATCTGGGAAAACTACAACCATCAAATCCCCATATTCCAGTGGCTACATGTAGTTGGTTAGCCATATGTAACTACTTTTTTCAAGAGAAGTTCGGTTGCAAACGGGAGATTGCATAGGCTCGGCATTGAAGATCCATCTCGTTATAGCTAGTTGGTCTGGTTCAAGAGCTGGTACTTTTTAAACCATAGAGAAACACATCTTCCGGTATATATTTGTGCCCCCCCGACAATGTATAGGTGCCGCCTGTTTGGGTGGAAGGATAGTTCCCTCGTAAATAAGAACCTTCTATTCCTGAATAGTGAGACCCTTCATATACATATAGGTAAAAGTGAAAATATCCAACAATTTTGCTTTATCCATCCAATTGAAAGGGCTTCAATGTTCACGAAGCCACAAAGCATGCCCAATAAAAGCCTTAGCTGGGAGGTCAGTAGAACACGACATCAAACTACATACCTCCCAAAGCCGTATCTCCTTGTTCAAAGCTCACTAACTTTCACCCGCCTTTGTCATCCTTCCCACCCCACAAGCCCTTCACGGCACCCTACCCCCCCCCCCTCCTGCAGGCCGCCGCTTCTTTGACACGGGAGTGTGTACTCTACGGGGCGGTGTATAAATACACCCCCCTCCCACATCCCCCCGCCGTCATATCCATCCCATCACCACCATATCACCACCAGTATCCCAACCAGCAACGATGAGCACCAGCAGCACCAAAGCCGCGCTCCAAACCGCCATCAAAACCAGCGTGCGGCGCATCCTGCACTTCACGGGCCCGCACTCCAAGCTCAAAGACATCTTCGACGACGTCTCCGACGACATCCTGCACTTCGTGCGCTTCCCGACGACGCGCGGGCAGGTGTCGAACACGTTCTACCAGCTGCTGGACAGCGGGGGGATACCGCATCTGGAGCGCGACCGGCGGAGTCGGCGGCTGGCGTCGCGGCGGAGGGGGAGGAGGAGGTCGAGAGGGAGTGGGAGGAGGAGCGGGAGGTGGGTGTTGGATAGCTTGCTCTACTCTAGATCTGCTGGATCCAGGGTGCGCGTGCGGGTATGTATATGCTGATATGGTGAATTTCTAGCCTCGCATCGATACCACCACCCCCGCCGCCGCCGCCGCTGCTGCTGCTGCCGCCGCCGCCTCCGGGGCCTCCTCCCCGCCCGCACTCCCACTCCACATGCTCCTCCACGGCCTCGCACCCCGACACCACCATCCCGCTGTCCGAGCAGCGCGCTCTGCTCTCCGCGCTGCACCGCGCCTGTCTCTACGCCTGCTTCACCTTCTGCAAGCACACGCTGCGCCTGGACATCACGCGCAACATCGACGACCCCGTCGCCTCGCAGGTGTGTCTGTCCGCGCTGGTCGAGGCCATCATCGCCGCTTACAACAGCGGGACGCTGGCGCCCGAGCTGATTGACGAGGAGGCCGGGTTTGGGCCCGGGAATGCGTTTGAGCGGGCGGGGTGCGTGGAGGATGCGGTGGTGTGGAGGGGCCCCATGGGGGATCGGAGGCTGCTGAGTGTGTTGCAGGCCGGGGAGGAGATTGTGGCGGCGTTGAGGGATGGCGAGAGGGTGGTGAGGGTGGATGCGTTGTATAGGAGGGCCGAGAGGCTGATTGGGGAGGCGGCGGGGGCGGGGGCGGAGGCGAAGGCGAAGGGGGAGGAGTGGGTGGAGGAGACGACGGATGATGAGGATCGGTAGAGGCGGTGGGGGTGGGTATGTGATATTATATAGACTGTAGATAGCAAGAGGACCTGTCGTTGGTTAATTTGCGACATCTTGAGAATTTGATAATATGATTCCTGTTTTTAGCCCATCAGTTCTATATTCCGGAAGAGGTGCATGTCGAGGATCGATGTGCATGAATGTCCTCCATGTTCTCAGAGATGACCCTTGTGAGGCAAAGTAAGGAAGCGGGGGCGTGGGGAGTGTGTTGTATGAACTGATGGTGCACGGGGGACAGAAGAGGGAGCGCAGCTTCCCTCCACTTTACGGAAAACTACATGCAGTCTAGCACAGCTATGTGTTGACGCTGAGGGAGAGCTCGTGGAGCATTCAAGGACAATGTGCATGCACCCAACACCATACAAAGCACTGCACCTCCTACTCATCAATACACACACACTCACATATCCACACCACTGTTGAAAAGGTAGCTAGAGGACGAGACAGTAAAGTGACTTAACTCCTATCTCAGCAAAGAGCCCAACCACCCACACAGCCACGGACCGGGCAACGGCAGACACGGCAGTGGCACGTATCCAGCTACATGTAGCATACAAGCCTCCACCACCACCGAGTGATACCCCATGACGCGCCCTCCATAATAATAATAATAATAATAATAATATACTCGCATGCAACCTTACTATGACGCGCCCACCAGCCAACATCCAGACAGCAAAGAACACCCACGACCACACCCACGACCCAGCAGCCTCACCGCGACAGCACACACCCAACACCAATGCAGCCACAAGAGTCAAAAAGCAGAAAGCTCATACACCAAGCTATCCAATCCTTGCTCCTTGGGGTGGTGGTGGGAGAGGGTCAATGATCACCGAGACATCCAGGCCGGAAACAGGCGCTTCACAGAGTTTCCGCGGATTGAAGATCTCTATATCTCTAGCCATCTAGCTACACCACGACCGCACGAGATCTAATCTACCAACAAGAGTGAGGGGAAAAAGCACACAAAAGAAAAGAAAAGCAGAGAGAGGAAGACCAGGTCCATATCGACCCCCCCCCCCCCCCAAACATCATACACCCAAAACACACCACAATACATACAAGTAAAGTACACCCCCCTAATACCCCGCCGCCTTCCCCCCCTTCCTCCACCAATCCGCCACGCCCTCGACCCTTCCCCCGCGCCCCCTCACCGCCTGCAACACGCTCCCCCCCGCGGTCTCCCCGCCCCCCCTCAACACCACGCCATGCCCCCTCTCCTCCAACCCCCTCACCACCCAGCCCTCCGTGTTCCACTCCGCGCTCACCGTCTCCGGTATCAACTGATGGTGCAGCCTCGGGCTCTTAATCGTGTCGAGCAAATCCCACCCCCAAAAGTACGTCTTCACCACCGCCTCAAACACGCCCGTCACAATCCTGCTGCCGCCGCTGCCGCCAATGACCAGCCCGACGTTGCCGTCGCCCTCGACAACGACCGTCGGCGCCGTGCTCGACAGCGGCCGCTTGTACGGCTGGATGTAGTTGTAGACGCTCGGCTCGAGGTTGTACGCGTTGCGGCGGCCGGGGATGGAGAAGTCGTCCATCTGGCTGTTGAGCACGATGCCGGTGGCGGGGTCGTGCAGCATGGCGCCCCAGTAGAGGTTGACGGTGGTTGTGAGGGCCGCGGCGCCGCCGTGCCGGTCAAAGACGGAGATGTGCGAGGTGCCCTTGGGGTCGGTGGGCTCGTAGGCGGGCTGGTAGTGCGCCCAGGGGTAGGTGTGCGTGGCGGAGATGTTGGCGCGCACGGAGGCGGCCCAGTGCTTTGTGGTGAGCTCGTAGATGCGTAGGTAGTTAGCAGAGACGGTAGGGTCGGTAGGGTCGCCGAGCTCGGTGCGGCCGGCGGAGAGCCACTTCATGGTTCTGGAGGGGTGTTAGTGGGCTGATGGCATTGGGGTGTGGGGACTTGGGTGGGGACTTACTCGACGAGATAGTGGTAGGAGAGCGGGTCTTGCGAGTCTCGCATGTTGAGGCCCTCGGCGATGTTGAGGCCTTCGATCAGCACCAGTCCACTATATTGAGGTGATGTCAGTCCTATAATCATCTATATCACTTCTATGAAGAGAGAGAGAGAGAGAGAGAGAGAGAGAGAGAGAGAGCACATACCTGCAGGGCGGCTGACAAGTGATAACCTCCATATCATCAATCACGGTCTTTGCGGTCTCCTCCACGACCGTAAAGTACTTTCCAAAGTCCTCCTCCGTCAGTATCCCGCCATTATTCTGCACAAACCTCGCCAGCCACCTCGCAATCGAGCCATTGTAAAACTCACGCACACCCTTATACGTATCGCCGCCGTCGCGCGCCTCCTCCGGCGCCGCAATAACCTCCAACGTATCCGCGTACGCCCACCTATGCATGATCTCCCCCGCGCGGAGCAGCTCGCCCGTCTCCTCCGAAAACAGGTACTCCCAGCTCTTCTTGTTGGCCGCGAAGAAGGCCTCCTGCGTCTGCATGTGGCGGGCGAGCGTTGGCGGGACCACGAAGCCGCCGCGGCACAGCTCGATGCTCGGCGCCCACAGCTCGTGCCACGCCAGCTTGCCGTACAGCGCGTGCGCCGTCGCGTACCCGTCCACCTCGCCCGGGGTCGCGACGGCGAGCCCGCCGACCTGCGCGAGCAGCGGCTCGCCGTTGTACATGTCGCGCGTGGCGGCGCCGGGAGCCATCTCGCGGAAGTTGAAGGACTTTGAGTCACCGTAGATTGTGCGGGCGACGAGGAAGCCGCCGCCGCCGATGCCGCTGGCGAAGGAGTCGACGACGCCGATGCAGACGCCAGTGGCTGTGGGGGGGGTTGTGAGGGCTGGGTTAGCTACATGGCATTGTATATACTGCTAGATACTGCTAGATACTGCTAGATACTGCGAGTACCGGGGGCCGGGGGGCGTGGTAATGACGGAAGACGAACCAATGATTGCGTCAACAGAGTTGCCGCCCTTCTTCAGGATGCCTACGCCAATCTCGGAGCAGACCTCGACGTCGGAGGAAACAACGCCGTGCTGGGCGTTGACGAGGATGTCGCTGTCTGGCACACGCCCCCCACTCAGTCAGTATCTCTATCTCTCTCCCTCTCTCTCTCTCACACTCTCTCTCCCTCCCTCCCACACTCTTCTCCTCTCACGGAATAGCAAACATCACATCACTCACCGCTCCCCTCGGCCTCGTTCTCCCAGAAGATGATGCCAAAGCCCACCGCAAAGAACATGAGCACCGCCACGAGCGTGATCGTCATGGGCAGCCGCATCCACCCCCTCTCGCCGTCGTTGTCGTCCGCCCGCCGCCGGCGCCCCCGCGCGCTGGCGGTCGGCGGCAGCGGCAGCGGCTTGGCGAGCATCTGCTGCTGCGGGTCGTCGCTGTCGGGGCTGGGCGCCCAGTAGTCGGGCGAGTGGGAGCGCGAGACTTCGGGCGAGAAGCGCACGCGGGTGGGCGGTGAGCGGTTGCTCATCGTGGCGTGGGTGTGGGTGTGGGTGTGGGTGCACTTTGCGAGCGGGTGTGTTTTAGGGGCGGGCAGTCTGGATGGTAGGCGGGGAAAGTGGAGCTCCTCCAGCTGAGGAGGTGTGCGGAGAGAGAGAGGGAGGGGGAGAGAGAGAGAGGGAGAGGGAGAGATATGGAGATATCTGACGGCGCTAATGCTGCTGATAGCTACGATACGGTCTAGGCTTGAGGTTCAGGTGCGGAGGTTTATCGACTGTCTCTCTCTATGTACATGAAGCAACCAGCAGAGCCAAACATCTACACATGTCTGTAACTACCGGATCGTCTGTAGAAACCCGTGCAAGAGAGGGGCTCGGGCAAAGCCGTAGACAAAGCTCTCCCCGCCTCACGAGCACGAGGTCTGGGCGCTCAAGACTCACAGCACCTACATCTCTGCAGCTCTGAGGATTGCCCTTGGAGTCTACAGCAGGAACTGTAGCCACTGAAGCCGTTGCAGAACAAAGTCGGCTGTCCGTCGTCTCCCCCGCCCAGCCAGCCGGGCATCCCGCGACACGCAGGGCAAGGCAAGCTTTTTCGGCAATCGTGTGCAAGTTGGGCTGCGGCGTTACACCGCTCTCCCCTCACACGTGCAAGCCCTCAGCCCTCAGCCCTCGGGATCAGTCGCGTGACAACGAAGGAAGGGGAGAAAATGCCTTCTTGAGCCTTGATAGCCGGGCAGTCCACACACACGCGGGGCTGCAGATGCTGTAACCAGCACCAGCACCAGCACCAGCACCAGCACCACAGTGCTCTTTATCAATACATGCAACTGAGCATGAGCTTATCGGCACTGATCAAAGCTCTCCACTCCGGGTTAGCCTCGGCCATCATGGAGGAACGAACCCCGATGTGGGTTAGGGCTTGCTTGCTTGCTTGCTTTGTAAGATCTGACAAATCTGATGTTTGCGGGTTCAAGAGTTCTAGCTAGAAACCAAATAGCCCTGCGTTTCACATATACCACCGAGACGCGGTGGATATAGCTATGACTTGACAGTCGTCTTCCAGGTCTGGCATTCGCAGACCCAAGAAAACCAGCTGCAGGCAGATATATTCAGTACATATCTATATCTAGCCAGAACCAACCAGAAAGACGTAATGCAATATGGCCTTGGTTTGAGATATACCATCGAGACTCCGTAATAGCTACGACCCGACAGTCCTCTTCCAGACCCGGCTGCTTGCTTATTGTGTGAGTTGTTCTTCACGAGGCCATCATATCATAGCAGCTATAGTTGTAAAACACACTGCAGTGCCAGGCCGGAGAGAGAAAAAAAAACTTCCAAACACCCGACCACCAAACCAGGAAAAGAAATGCTAAGCACCTGCTACACAAGTCAAAGAAAGACCATGACATGACGTGGGGACATACGGGCCATCAGAACAAGCTTAGTTATAATTAGCAAACTCTATCGCCATCTCCATATATGCCCCACCTCGATCCCCCGCTCCCTATTCTCCTCCGATTCGCCTCACGCTCAGCCCCCCGGAGCAGGATTCAGGTCGCCATATATATAGCAAAGCAATCACAGCAGGCCTAAGGGCTGTCAAGTTTTTTCACGCATCACCAGAAATCACTCGCAGTGTCTCATCCCACACGCACCCAATCACCATGCCCCGGGCTCCCGAGAAGCTTATGTAGCGCCGCGCCCGCGTATTGGGTCCCTGAAAATCACGAACCGTACCGGGTTTTCCATTTCCACCCCGAGTGATCCCCATCATCATCATCATCATCATCACTGGCAGGCAGGCAGGCAGGCATGCTACTACAATAGCGCTAGTGCTGCTAATATTACCGGGGGTCCGGGGTAATGTTTCGCGTATACATGTACATGGTGAATTATTTACTCTGCTTCTGGTCCACGCTGATTCGCCGGTGGGGGGGGGAGAGACCCGGCTGCGATTACGGTGATGACGGTGATTACTCATTTACTGGATTGGATTGGATGTAGAAGTGGTTGTTGTGGGGATTGGTTGTGAAACCTCCCTCCCAATGTTGTTGAGCGCACAGCAACCGATATCAGGAAGTGCTATGGGAGAGTGAGTGAGTGAGTGAGGATGCGAGTCGAGTCGGAGGCCCAACAGAACGGGGCGCCGACGCCGACAAAGAAAGTAAAGTAAAGTAAAGCAAAAAGCAGATCGAAAAGATCGAGCGCCGACAGGAGGAGGGAAAGCAGGAAATAGCACTGCACTCTACATTGAATCTCCATACCACCTTACGTCAGCAGCAGCAGCAGCCGCATCCCAAACCAAACTCCCATCACTGACAGTCAGCGACCGCCAGATGTTCCCGATGCTGCCTGCCTGCCTGCCCCCTGGGCCCTGGGCGCTGATAGGTACCGTATCTGGCTGCCATCAAATCGCGCATTCTAGATAGCTCGGGCCATCCAGGGACAAATTGTTTATTTACGGCTGCTCCATGGTAAAGACGCAAGAGAGAGCTTTATTACGCGGATCCCTCTTACTATGCTACTACTAGGCCTTCTTTAAACCGGTCGCGCCAAGCAACGCACGCAGGACAGGACAGGCCCCACCACCACCACCACCCCTCCCCTCCTGCGGGCGGAAAATCCCCAACGATTTTTTTGTGCGAGAATTGCTCCCAACACGTTGCGCCTAGTCCTGTTTTCGATGGTGGGAAAGGCCCTTTTGGGCTGTGCATGTTCGGGGTTGTGGAGAGGGATCGATAGAGAAAGAGTGAAAAGAGAGAGAGATCTGAGAGAGGGTTGAGGTTGAGAGAGGTGATCTCGAGCTAATGGAGGGGGAGGGTTTTTTGGTGGGGGAAGGGAATTGCCTATCTGGGGTTCCTGCGATTACCCCAAGTATCTAGAACACTGCACTGACTGACTGTATTTTCTTTTCGCAAGTGAGCATCTGTAGAAGAGAGCAGAGTAGAAAAAATCAAAAAAAGGTACCGCATCCAACCAACCGATCCCATAGCCGGAGTATTTCCCTTATGTTTCCTTTTTTCCTCGGGTCTACCATCAGTAAGGTAGGGTGGGCCAGCCAGCCAGTAGCCAGTAGCAGTATCAATTAAATCCCTGCCCGCAAAACAGAGCCCCGCAAAAAAGAATTCCCTATCATTTTGTTGGTTGGGCCCAACTAGCTAGCTCTTGTTCCCTCAACGGAGAGAGAGAGACCCATTTATTTCCAGAGTTAGTACTTCAACAGGACCCGACCCCACCCCCCGCCCTCCCTCTCCCACCCTCATTCCTCCTCCCATCAAAGTGTTCTTCGTTCTCTTTCAAGCCATCCTGTAAGTTGTCCTCCTCCTCCTCCTCCTCAATCCCCGAGTGGAGTGTGCTAGTGTTGCAAATTATCCTCACACTTCTAGATTTCTTCTCCTCTCTCTCCCCCATTACTACGAACGACCGACGACGACGATCCTACCCCTCACGCCGCACGAACGTACAGCCAGAAGGAATTAAGCTCCACCAGATCACTGCTGCTGCGCCATAATATCTTTTTCTCCCCCGTGCCCACACGCCGAGGATAAAAAAAGATACCACAAAAAACCCAGCAACTCACCCAGTCAATCCACTCCTATTCTTACACATATATACCCTACCCACACACTACACTCACGCCCGAGTCTTCTATTAAACAACAACAACAATGGCATCAGACTCATCTGCCACCGCGGCGGCCATCATGCGGACGACCGGAGCGGCGGGCCAGCCGGGGGGGAAGGACAAGATAGTGACGCCGAGCTACTCAAAGAAGTTCAATCTGCCCGCACACTTCATCGGCGGCAATTCGTTAGAGGTTGCAGGCCCGAGCGCGGTCAAGGACTTTGTTGCGTCCCACGACGGACACACCGTCATTGAGAAGGTTTGGGAGCGCCAATGATTTTTCTATCGGGTGGAGTTTTGAGAGTGGACCTGGGAATGGGAAGGCTAATTGGGTTGTGTGTGTGTGTGTGTGTTTTAGGTTCTCATTGCAAACAATGGTATTGCGGCCGTAAAGGAGATTAGAAGTGTGCGCAAATGGGCGTACGAGACATTTGGTGATGAGAGGGCGATCCAGTTCACGGTTATGGCTACACCGGAGGATCTGCAGGCGAACGCGGACTACATTAGGATGGCGGACCAGTACGTTGAGGTCAGTATTCCAGCTCTTCCCCTGCCCCCGCCCCACCTCAACCTCAACCCCCCACCTTCCCTTGGCCCGAACCCCATATCCGGGTGAAATACCAATTGCAATGCTAACCCGAAAAACCACAACCTACAGGTCCCTGGTGGCACAAATAATAATAATTATGCAAATGTCGAGTTGATTGTAGACGTTGCTGAGCGTTTTGGGGTCCACGCTGTGTGGGCTGGATGGTGGGCCAATCCCCCTTCCTCCCTTCCGCGCAATTGCAGTTTACTGATTTTCGGATAACAGGGGACATGCGAGTGAGAACCCAAAGCTGCCGGAATCCCTGGCGGCGTCAAAAAACAAGATTGTCTTCATTGGGCCCCCCGGCTCGGCGATGCGATCACTCGGAGACAAGATCTCCTCCACGATTGTTGCGCAGCACGCCGAGGTACCATGTATTCCTTGGAGCGGTACCGGCGTCAGGGACGTCGTTGTCGACACGGAGGGTCTTGTTACGGTGGCCGACGATATCTACGACAAGGGTTGCACACACTCTGCCGAGGAGGGTTTGGCAAAGGCCCGAGAGATCGGGTTCCCAGTCATGATCAAGGCGTCAGAGGGCGGTGGTGGAAAGGGAATCAGGAAGGCGGATACCGATGAGAACTTTGCCAGTCTCTACAGCCAGGTTGCCAACGAGGTGCCCGGATCCCCCATCTTTATCATGAAGCTGGCCGGCAATGCTAGGCATCTGGAGGTGCAGCTGTTGGCGGACGAGTACGGAAACAACATCTCGCTGTTTGGCCGTGATTGTTCAGTACAGAGAAGACACCAGAAGATCATCGAGGAGGCGCCCGTCACGGTTGCCAACCCCGCCACTTTCAATGCTATGGAGAAGGCCGCCGTACGACTGGGTAAACTTGTCGGATACGTCTCAGCGGGTACCGTCGAGTACCTCTACTCCCACTCAGACGACAAGTTCTACTTCCTCGAGCTTAACCCCCGTCTCCAGGTCGAGCATCCCACCACTGAAATGGTTACCGGTGTCAATCTTCCCGCTGCCCAGCTCCAGATTGCCATGGGTCTTCCCCTGCACAGAATCCGCGATATTCGTCTCATGTACGGTGTCGACCCTGCGTCCACCGGCGAGATTGACTTCGACTTCTCAAAGGAAAACTCACACCTGACCCAGCGCAAGCCGGCCCCCAAGGGACACACCACAGCCTGCCGTATCACCTCCGAGGATCCCGGCGAAGGTTTCAAGCCCTCCAGCGGTATGATGCACGAGCTCAACTTCAGGTCTTCCTCGAATGTCTGGGGTTACTTCTCAGTCGGTACAGCCGGTGGTATCCACTCCTTCTCAGATTCACAGTTCGGACACATTTTTGCGTACGGAGAGAACCGAGGCGCCTCTAGGAAGCACATGGTTGTCGCCTTGAAGGAATTGAGCATTCGTGGTGATTTCAGGACTACCGTTGAGTACCTCATCAAACTTCTTGAGACTCCGGCGTTCGAGGACAACACCATTACAACAGGATGGCTCGACGAACTTATCACAAACAAGCTCACCGCCGAGCGACCAGACACCATGTTGGCTGTCGTTTGCGGTGCTGTCACAAAGGCGCATGTTGCCAGTGAGGCGTGCATGGCTGAATACAGGACTTCATTGGAGAGGGGTCAAGTGCCGGCGAAGGACATTCTCAAGACTGTTTTCCCCATCGACTTTATCTACGAAGGCAAGAGATTCAAGTTCACAGCGACCAGGTCGAGCTCGGATTCGTACCATCTCTTCAGCAACGGCTCAAAGTGCAGTGTCGGTGTTCGAGCGCTGTCCGACGGTGGTCTTTTGATCCTGTTGGGCGGTCGAAGTCACAACGTCTACTGGAAAGAGGAAGTTGGAGCTACTAGAGTGAGTGTCGATAGCATGACCTGTCTCTTGGAGCAGGAGAACGACCCCACACAGTTGAGGACACCCTCCCCCGGAAAGCTTGTCAAATTCCTTGTAGAGAACGGAGAGCATGTCAAGAGGGGCCAGGCATTTGCGGAAGTCGAGGTTATGAAGATGTATATGCCACTCCTTGCTCAAGAAGACGGCCACGTGCAGCTCATCAAGCAGCCGGGTGCCGTCCTTGAAGCTGGTGACATTCTTGGTATCTTAGCTCTTGATGACCCCAGCCGTGTCAAACACGCTACACCTTTCGACGGCCAGCTTCCCAACTTCGGTGCTCCCCAGGTTGTTGGCAACAAGCCTCCCCAGAGGTTCACTCAGCTTAACACTATTCTACGCAATATTCTCGATGGTTATGACAACCAGGTTATCATGGCCACCACACTCAAGGAGCTTATCGAGGTTCTGAGAGACTCTGAACTCCCTTACGGTGAGTGGTCTGCTCAATTCTCAGCCTTGCACAGCAGGATGCCGCAGAAGCTTGATGCCTTGTTCTCCCAAATCACCGACAGGGCAAAGGCTAGGAAGGCCGAGTTCCCTGCAAAGGCATTGCGCAAGGGTCTTGAGCGTTTCTTGGATGAGCATGTTCAGGCTGGTGACGTTGACCTTTTGAAGTCGGCTTTGGCGCCCCTTACGGCCATTATGGATGCATATGCCGAGGGCTTGAAGGCACACGAGCTTTCAGTTTTCCTGCACATCTTGGAACATTATTGGAGCATTGAGAAGCTTTTCTCTGTAAGAATTCCTGTTGATTTTGCTTTTTCCCGGAAATAATACTAAACAAAATAATATAGGGCGCAAACACCAGAGATGAGGACGTCATTTTGAGACTCCGTGATGAGAACAAGGAGGACATCAACAAGGTCATCCAGGCAGTTCTCTCGCACAGTAAGATCAGCTCTAAGAACAACCTTATTCTCGCTATCTTGGAGGAGTACCGCCCCAACAAGCCTGGAAATGGACCCATCGTCAAGTTCTTCCGCCCAATCCTCAAGAAGCTCACTGAGTTGGACTCCCGCCCCTCTACCAAGGTTGCCCTCAAGGCCCGTGAGGTCCTCATCCAGTGTGCTTTGCCATCATTGGAGGAGAGAGCGACTCAGATGGAGCACATCCTTCGTTCTTCCGTTGTGGAATCAAGATATGGAGAGACTGGATGGGAGCACAGAACTCCTTTGCTCGACACTTTGAAGGAAGTCATCGACTCGAAGTACACAGTCTTCGATGTCCTTCCAACATTCTTCGCCCACGCCGATCCCTGGGTTTCTCTTGCTGCTTTGGAAGTCTACGTTCGCAGGGCTTACAGGGCCTACGAGTTGCACGTCGTTAACTACCACAACCTGGACTCAGAACCTCCGTTTTTGGTTACTTGGGACTTCCAGCTCCGAAAGGTTGGTGTTACCGAGTATGGAATGACCCAGCCATCAGCTCCTACTACCCCGACCGTTGAGCGCAGTGAATTCAAGCGTATTGGCTCAATCAGTGATCTCTCATTCTTGGTTGGAAAATCCGAGGCCGAGCCTGTGCGAAAGGGTGTCATTGTTCCCGTCACCTTCTTGGATGAAGCCGAGGAACTACTTGGCAGGGCTCTTGAACTCATTCCGCGTGGAAAGGGAGGCAAGAAGACAACGAAGGAGAAGGAAGGCCACATGCCTAGCCTCGAGGGACGCAGAAAGGCACACACCCTCAGCGCAATTGAGATCGATGAGGAGGAGATTCTTTCAGCAGTGTGCAACGTTGCAGTCCAGGATGCCGAGTCTATGGATGACAAGGACCTTATGGAGCGGATTCTCCCTCTCATCAATGACTTCAAGGCCGAGCTTCTCTCGCGCAACGTCAGAAGAATCACCTTCATTTGCGGTCACAAGGATGGATCCTACCCAGGTTACTTCACCTTCCGTGGACCCGAGTACAGGGAAGAGGAGAGCATTCGTCACATTGAGCCCGCTTTGGCTTTCCAGCTTGAGCTTGGCAGATTGTCGAACTTCCAGATCAAGCCAGTGTTCACTGAGAACCGCAACATCCACGTCTATGAGGCTTACGGCAAGGAGGTCCAGAGTGACAAGAGATACTTCACCCGTGCTGTTGTCCGAGCTGGTCGTCTGCGGGATGAGATCCCTACAGCGGATTACCTCATCTCCGAGACTGATCGCTTGGTCAATGATATTCTTGACGCTTTGGAGATTATTGGAAACAACAACTCTGATCTCAACCACATCTTCATTAACTTCACCCCAGTATTCCCTCTGAGCCCCGAGGAGATCGAGCCTGCTCTTGGTGGATTTATTGAGAGATTTGGAAGACGTCTTTGGAGGCTTCGTGTCACCGGCGCTGAGATCCGTATCATCTGCACTGACCCCAAGAGCGGACTTGCTTACCCACTCCGTGTCATCATTCAGAACGTTTCCGGTTATGTCATCCAGGTCGAGATGTACGCAGAGAGAAAGACTGATAAGGGTCAATGGGTCTTCCACAGCATTGGCTCCAAGCCCGGCTCCATGCACCTTCGTCCAGTCAACACCCCATATGCTGCTAAGGAGTGGCTTCAGCCCAAGAGATACAAGGCCCACCTTATGGGAACTCAATACGTCTATGATTTCCCCGAGCTCTTCAGGCAGGCAATCCATCAAAGCTGGTTGAAGACCGCAAAGAAGGTTTCTGCTTTCAAGGAGAAGGTTCCTCAACTCACAGAGTGCCTTGACTACAACGAGCTTGTCTTGGATGATCAGGGTGATCTCACGGAAGTCCAGAGGGAGCCAGGTACCAACACACACGGTATGGTCGGTTGGGTAGTAACTGCAAAGACCCCCGAGTACCCCAAGGGCAGGAAGTTCGTCATCATTGCCAACGACATTACCTTCAGGATTGGTTCTTTCGGACCTGCGGAGGACAGATTCTTCCACAAGTGTACCGAACTCGCCAGAGCGATGGGTGTTCCTAGGATCTACCTCTCTGCAAACTCCGGTGCAAGAATTGGTATGGCCGAAGAGTTGATCCCCCACTTCTCTGTTGCCTGGAATGATGTCGACAAGCCTGAGGCTGGTTTCAAGTACCTTTACCTCACTCCTGAGATGCACAAGAAGTTCGCGGACAGGAAGCAGAAGACCGTCATCACAGAGCGGATCGTTGACGAGGAAGAGGAGAGATACAAGATCACCACTATTGTTGGTCAGGAGGATGGTTTGGGTGTTGAATGTTTGAAGGGATCGGGTTTGATTGCTGGTGCAACTAGCAAGGCTTATGAGGACATTTTCACGCTTACTCTTGTTACTTGCCGTTCCGTTGGTATCGGTGCCTACTTGGTCAGGTTGGGTCAGCGTGCAATCCAGATTGAAGGACAGCCTATTGTAAGTTTGAATTTTGTGGCTTGAGTGTGCGAGATCATTTGCTAATCACTTATTTTAGATTCTCACTGGTGCCCCCGCTATTAACAAGCTTCTTGGTCGTGAGGTTTACACCTCCAACTTGCAATTGGGAGGCACCCAGATCATGTACCGCAATGGTGTGTCTCACTTGACTGCCAACGATGATTTCGAGGGTGTGCAGAAGATTGTTGAGTGGATGTCATACGTTCCTGAGCGAAAGGGTGCTCCTGTGCCTGTTTCTCCATCTAACGATACCTGGGACCGTGATATCACATTTGTGCCACCACAAAAGAACCCTTACGATGTCAGATGGCTTCTTGCCGGTAAGGATGATGAGGGTCTCTCCGGTCTTTTCGACAAGGGTTCCTTCCAAGAGACTCTTAGTGGATGGGCCAGAACCGTCGTTGTTGGTCGTGCTCGTCTTGCTGGTATCCCTGTCGGTGTCATTGCTGTCGAGACCCGCTCAGTTGAGAACATTACTCCTGCCGACCCTGCGAACCCAGACTCTACTGAGATGGTTACTCTCGAGGCTGGTCAAGTTTGGTACCCCAACTCTGCATTCAAGACCGCACAGGCCATCAACGACTTCAACCATGGAGAACAACTTCCCTTGATGATCCTTGCCAACTGGCGTGGTTTCTCCGGTGGTCAGAGAGATATGTACAATGAGGTCCTCAAGTATGGTTCCTTCATCGTCGATGCTCTCGTCAAATACGAGCAGCCTATCTTTGTATACATTCCTCCTTACGGCGAGCTTCGTGGTGGATCTTGGGTATGTTTCCTCACTCTCACATTACATTTAGAGCTATGGCTAATCATTGTAACTAGGTTGTCGTTGACCCCACTATTAATGCTGATATGATGGAGATGTACGCCGATGAGGAAGCCCGCGCTGGTGTCCTCGAGCCCGAAGGTATTGTCAACATCAAGTACCGCCGTGACAAGCAGCTCGACACCATGGCCCGCCTTGACCCCGTCTACGGTGACCTGCGCCGCCAACTCGCCGACAAGAACCTCGCCCAGGACGAGCAATCCACCCTCAAGGTCAAGATGGTCGAGCGCGAGAAGCTGCTCATGCCCGTCTACGGACAAATCTCTCTCCAATTCGCCGATCTCCACGACACACCCGGCCGTATGCAAGCCAAGGGTGTTATCCGTATGCCCCTCCAATGGAAGAACGCCAGACGCTTCTTCTACTGGCGTATCCGCCGTAGATTAAACGAGGAGCTGTTCTTGAAGAAGATGGCGGTTGCGGACAAGGGCTCCACCAGGACTGAGAACTTGGAGAGGTTGAAGATGCTGATTGTTGCGGATGGCGAGAGTACCTTGTTTGATGAGAACGACCGCTTGGTTGCGTGCTGGTATGAGGAGAACAGGAAGGATGTGCTTTCCAAGATTGAGGGTCTGAGGCAGGACGGCGTCTCAAACCAGGTTGCATCTCTCATCCAGAAGAATGGCAGCAGCGCGTTGAAGGGTGTTGCTGCTGCTCTCGGCAAGCTCGGTGAGAAGGAGCGTGAAGAAGTCCTCAAGTTACTGGCTGGGTCAAAGAGTCCATAGGGTTTGTGGATAACCTTTCGCGCAAATCTGTTATCACTGTACTGTGTGATATCGTATGCACTTATCTTGTCCATAATTCTGTTAGGTATTTTATGATTGTCCATGTCTATTTAATTAGAATGGGTGATGGTAAATTATGGATGCCTTTCTTTTATTATGTTTCCTTGCGTTTTTCCTAGTTTCAATGCTTGTCTTTACTTTTTTTTTTTGTTTCATTACATTGTCTTCACTTTTTTTTCTTTGCTTGATTATTATGCACTTTGACTTCACTTTTTTCTTGGTTTTTTACGCTATATCATTGCTATCTTGCATTTTTTTCTTAAGTTTCTATCATTTCAAAAAGACAAGATGTCACAGAGAAAAGGAACATAAAATAGACTCGATTTCAATTTACTGCCATACTTCAACAGAGAGTGAAAGAGAACTGATTCATACCGAAAGTGCCAAAAGCCAACGCATCTTCCCAGCCAGCCATCCACCATTTCCGAAACAGACTCCCTCCTTTCTCTACTTCAATAATTGCGTAGGGCAGCTTGATAAGCCTGTGCTTCCCTCTCCCTTTCAACCCTCTCCCTTTCCAGCTTCTCCATCTTCTCTGCAAGACACCTAGCGATCAAGCGTTTTAGAGGAGAGTCGCCTAGGATGAACACCCCCTCGTGGTTTATGACCAAGGGTGCAATCGGATCGATGGTTGCTGGCGACAGTTCCTTCATAATTTCGAATGCGACCCTCGGGAACCTCTTGCAAAACGCCTCGAATTGGGGCATGTCGATGTATCTCTTGATGTCAAAGGCGACCTTCTTGACCATTATCCGGCGGAGGTGGTCCTGGCCTATACTATGGTGTTCAGCGAGATAATCCAGAAACTCGATGTCGTGACAAGGTTGGATAATGTGGCGCTGCATAAGCAGAAGACGGTGAATGTGAATCGTGACGCAGGTCTGAAGCTCGTTGCACAAGTACTTTGCGGCCATGGTGTAGACGCGGCCATGTAGCACAAGGAGGTTGAAGCCATGGAAGGTCCTCTGCGTCATCTTGTAGTCACCAGCCGTTACCCATTCAGTAAAGTGCTTGATGGTTTGTGCGGTCTCCTTCGTCAGGTAGGTGTAGATGTACCTCGGATCCCGCCCTATATTCTGTATGACCTCGGCGTGGAGTGAGGGCGAAACGAGATTTAGAAGGTTTTCTTGTATGCCTATGCCTAAAACATCGGGCTCGAGAATGGACCCCAACTTTATGATTCTCCCCATATCATCTTCGATCCTATTCATTACGTTAGTGATACTTATATATATGCTTTGTCTTGCTGTCCTCAAGACATCTAGTGGGTGTCACAAACAAGAGGAAGTCTTGGTAGGTCGCGGGGTCACCCAGAGCAGGTTTCCCCCAGTAATCAACCATTGATATATTGGATGGCAGTGATGATGGAGGTAGAGATGATGGTTATATTGATTGTGGATGATGGGGAAGAAGAAGAAGAAGAAGTGGTGTGGTTGGGGTAGAAGAGTAAAAGAAAAGGTTCAGGGAACAAATGTGGGCTTGTGTGTCTGACGTTAGGATACGTCATAGCATATCACTCGATCTCCAATTACTTTATTCTGCTCTAATCTAGAGCTCCTAACGCCGGATATACAGATGATATTTGGTGTCTGGACCTACCAAAGCAAAACACTCGTCTAAAGATTTTAAAACCCGCACTAGGCGCATGGTCGTCTCCTTCCATTCCTTCTTTCTTTATTGATAACCAAGGCCATAAGCCTCACACAATCTACCCTCCTACGTCTGGTGCTGGACTCGACAGGCATAACTATGAGAAGCAATTCCATGAGTCGTTTAACCATTCATCGATAGCGTTTTGACGATGCCCCGCGGTCAAAGGTCTATGATCCTTCAGCTGCAGTGACCTTCGAGCCATGGTGATCCTAATCACCCCCGCGGCCGCAGATTATTGTATCCGATGACTGAATCCAGACTTGTATCGCTATACCTATCGAAGGTAGGCATGCACTGGTTTCACTCATAAAGCATGAACGCCGAAACCTTTGTTTTGTGGACAGACGCATCTACCACTGTGTGGAGAGAGGCCTTCCAGATCTGCCCGATACTGGATTGTCACCAGCACTAAAGCATGACTATTTAACGAAGAAACGGTCTAGGAGAGCGAGTCCCAGCCAGAAGCCCGATGCACATCCATACCACAATAACCTTCCCTCGGCCGATTCGAACACCACAATACGGTCTCAGTGTGGTCCACGATGGCGAAGCACTTCGTGCCTCGAAGTGGAACGAGGTATACCCTTCAACGAGGCCTATGTACCTCGATACATGGTGTATTCCTCGACTCGAGTCGACTCGAGTCAACTCAATATATACCCCTCAGGCTACCAGAACAGAGATACCGGTGTAATACGCGTCCCGGGTGATTGAACCAGACAAGAACTATTGAGAACCCACTGTCAAGACATACCTCAAGGAGCATCGAGAGAGCTCGAGGCATAGGTGTATAGGGCTCGAGGCAATCCAAAGCAGACCCCTTCAGAGGCAGAGGCAACTCGATGCACCCCATCTTCCTCACCTCGATGTGCTTCGTGGACCACACTTTACGGTCTTAATCCGCTATTTCATGCACCATATCATGCCCCATAATAACGAAGGCTAGGACTCTGTGCTCGAGATGAAATTCCCCAAAATTTTAATTAATTGACAGCACAAGAAAATCTCAGCATTTTAAGAATGGGATACACACACCGAAAGAAATCCACAGCTGCATAGCTATCATCAAGATTTTGAAATATTTAACGCCACGAAGAATTTAGTTGACATACTGCCATCAATCGATATTATGTAGATACCAACTTAATTATAAATCCTTTGTATTTGCAGACGGATAGGCGCATGATAATCAGTACACACTTACATGTAGTTGACAATCGAGATCCTTCCCGAACGCAAACCACCTAAGCCTGTGGTGATTTATTACTCGCCAGAGGGTATAGTACAACTAATCGACGAAAGAACGTTAGCTGTGAACTGTCTACAGCCTTTCTCGAATTCTAATTCGAAGCAACATAAAAATATCAGGAGGACATCAAGTAGCTTTGCAATTTGCCCATCATTATGTAAATAAGGTTTGGCCTCTAATTTACTGACGTATATCAGGACCTGTACTACGTGTCATACACGTATACACATGTAGACGTAAACATACTTTCCAACTATATCTCACTCGCTGGAGATTACGTGGTCCGTATCGGCAAGGATCAGACTACAGACGCTGCATGTGTTTGGATGATATTGAATATTATCAATACCAGTTTCAATTGGTACAATCTAAAATTTACAGTCATTTGCGTTTATAACCTCTAATCAATTGCGCACAACTATTGAGTCACGAATTGGAGTGAGGCATATAAGAACGATACCAAACATTTTCAGGAATATAGTCAATTCAAATTTGATATTGAGCAATCAGGATAGTAATTCTACGAAAATAGCCACCCTTAGAATTACCCTAGTCTCTTTCGAAATCATGATCATGGCACATATATATACTTCCCGCCAATTTAATCAGAAAAACTAAGGGCATTGGCCATATCGGGGTTAATAAGCTTATGGCTAGTATCGAACCAAAAAGTTCTCTAGTTCGGACAATTTATCACAACCAAATCCTGACTATAGTTCCTTCAAAATGCTGTCTTAATCGACCTATACTTTCGAGGCTGCTTGCACTACTCGTTATTACTCGGGAAACACTAATTATAAACCACCTCAGCTACATGTACTCAAGTATCGCAACGAAAAAGAAAAAAGAAAAAAAAACGTCTCGCACAACCCACCACAAGCGCGCGGCCCCAGTCAACCCATCATCTTCCCAAGCTCTTCCAACGGAGAACTAAAATCATGTGCTCTGGCTCGGAGTTGAACCGAGGATCTCAGCATTACTAGTGCTGCGCCTTACTTGGCCACCAGAGCATGAATGTTAGCACTAGGATTATATTTAATCTCCCCTAGTCTCCAATTTGGCTTCATTTCCTGTCGAGCTTGTCGTGGTACGGACCTCCGACTGTAGCTGAATATTTGCAAGTGTGCGAGCAATTATTTACACATAATTCTTTGAATTTAGTGAGATATACAGACCGAACTCAGCACATGATATTACCACCCTGTCTGCCTTAACGCTTCCTCTAAAGAGTTGCCTCCATTGGCACTCTATAAGTATGAATCTGGAATTTGTGCAAACTCACAATGAAATTCCGTTCCCATACGTTAGTGGTCAATACACGTAAAAACACAAGTCACAAGTTTCAGTATTAGATATATATAGTGACAACCATGAGACAACTTTTTAAAGACTTTGATACGGCGCGGGACGAGACCCCGCAGTTTACAATGTCTAAATCTCGATCTCGAGACTTGTTTTTTTGGACTCTAAAAATAAAACTTGTAGACAAACCTGCACTATCTGATGTTTTTGACATCCTTAAAACAAGACTGGGAAATTCTCGTCTCGTCTTGTATTCTTTAAACTGGGTATTGAAAATCTCGAGACAATAGTGTAGTCTCATCAAAATCTTGAGACTTTCGTCATGTGACCTTGGATCTGGGGAATATCTGCAACCATGCAGATCAAGAGTCCAAACTTTTGGAACTGGGGTTGGAGATCTAGGGTATATTAAGGTGGGGGGGGGGGGGGGGAGTTCAAAAATTCTCGAGGCCCTCGGACCTGGTGATCATGTCTCGTCTTACCTTGCTTTAACAAAGGTTTGAGACAGTCTCGAGACAACGTCTTGTCTCGCGCCCATCAATACCTGGAGACCACAAGTCATTTATTAGCAATTACCAGATCCAGTGAATTCGAAGGTATTGGGATCGGGAGATCGAAGTGATAGTATCCTTATCAAAACAAAAAGGTATTCAGAAAAGAGAAAACAACCCACTAATATTCCCCAATTACAAAAAACACACTATACAGCGCCAGGAGTTGGAAAAGTCATCTGTAGTACTGTGTTCCATGAGCCGAGCATTCGGCTCGTCGAGAGCGAGCCTGATCATTCAGCAAGGCTCGAGCTTAGGCTCGAGCTCAAACTACATGTATGTGCTTTTCGCTGAGCCCAGGGGGTTATATATGGGGGCGCCTGTGAGGAGGAGATATGCGGGCTACCAAAGATCTTTCTCCCTTTCCAACACCCATTTCAACCATTTGTCTCATCGGTCTAGTACAGTTGCTTTCCCAATAACAATGCCCATATATACCTGCCACTTGGCAGAAGGAAATCTTGTTTTTCTGATCATTGACCACCGGCTTGAGCCATTTTACGAGCCTTCATTAAAAGCTCGAGCTCTATGAGCCTTATTCCTCCAAGAGCTGAACCAGCTCGAGGTTAATTATGGGTCGGCTCGACTCGAGAGTCATCTGTTATTTCTCAGTGCCCACTTATATAGCGGTAGCAGCTACATATATGTGTAGGTTGTGTCTTATTAATTCAGAGTACTTATAGCCCCAAACGCGTACAGACATCTCACCATGTTTCGAAATTACTGTAATATATAAAGAACCCAGAAAGTTAAAATCCATATGCATTTGCAATGATGACAGACCCTTTCTTTTTCTTTTTCTTTTTTTTTTTCCTTTTTTTTGGGGGGGGGGGGGGGGGGGGTGGGGGATTTTCTCATCATGGAAAGAATCTGCACACACACTCATAATGACTGCAAAATAGCCTGGTATGAAAATTAATCCTCGTTATATATATATCACGGAACGTGCACCACCCTCCCATCCTGGGTACATGATGTTGGTCTTCTTAAGAGGTTAATGAAACTTAAGTAATTATGAAACCCGAAGAGCTACGAACTCTGGTTCAACCAAAAAGGGATCTGGGCCTAGAAGTAGCTGTCTCTTGAGAGAAAGATCTGTTTATATCCGCGAGCCCCGGAGTAATGAAGTAATCAATCAATCAATCAATATCTGCAAGCCCCGAATAGACCCTAACCCTACGAGTGATAATATATGATTGTAATTGGCGTCATGCAACGAAATGTGTCCCTCGATTTCTGAAAGATAAAACGTAACGCCTGTCTGCTTATAGACGGTGCTTGCTTACTGAATGCCATGTTAACCTCAATCCCAGATTCTTTTGACGTTTTAGCTTATCTTACTTTATTCTGTTTCAAACAGCGAAAACGAAAACCCCGATTCAATATATTATATTCGTCGATCCTACTCTCTAACTAGATATAATAGATACTGCTTCTATCTAGAGCATTTTTTATCCCTCAAAATCTTAAATAGCAATGCAGGTAAACAACTTATAACTAGTACAAGTGTCTCACGCCAGTGAAGTTTTTGAAATCAAATATGTGAAGGTGGTGAGAACAGAGGCCTAGACTTCAATCGTGCACATTTTCAGATCCGTGAAGGACTTAATCCGCAAAAAGTACATTCGTTGACTCCAACAATAGCAGTACTAAGCTTCATATATCAACGTACTCAGAACCCCAATTGCATAATACTGTTAGCACTAGGTGCTACATACATTATTTCCACAGATGTTTACACGATATCCGAGTGACATTTTGTGAATATATTACAAAACATAATCCACGGGTACATACTGCAGTACTGCAGAATCAGAGACATTCCACTGCACAGCACGATATCCGAGAATCCCGATCTACAATGCACATGGCTCAAGTCAAAGATATTGAGCCGTCAAAAGCACGTAATCTTTGGCGAGGAGCCCGTCTCCCCCCCGGGTGCGATCTCCCGCCTGTCTACGATATGCACACAAACCGTTGCCTTTTTTTCACCAAAGACAGTGTCAAATAGGCAGCATGCATCTATATGCATTTCTCATCTCGTATTTCTCATTTCCATTGATAGCTTACTGCTTACTGCTCACTGCCATGAACTTGCTTATAGGCATACCGGTATCCCCTTTACAGATATATCTCCCTCATGTGCAGCAGTTCTTGATCGATCCCCGGAAACGATATATACAGGTTAGAGATTGTCCTGGTAAGGGAGGAATACCTGATCGATCTCGACCATCTGCCTGGACGGCATGAGGCATGAAGTACGAAATCTAAGATATCTTAATGGTCCGTGTAAGAGGATCTAGAGATACCAGTAGATAAATTATATATATAATCAAGCGCTGTCAGTCAAGATTCTGCATGAGATATTACCCAGTACTTTTACGATGAAGTGCACCGGGTATGCAATATTCTCTTTTGTACCTCTCTACCTTAGATTCTACAAGATGCGGCGAGGAGGTAAAACGCTAAGGTAGAGTATGTGTATGTATGACTCCGGAATCCAAGCCGAGAAAGAAAAGAATTAAGAGTTTTAAACACGTCGACATTTTCATCGCCTATGCACGAGATTTTTGCCGGAACAGGCTCATCACAGGCTCTCACTCACTTCAACTAGGTAGATCCATCGAGTATTTTTTATTTTTTATTTTAGTTTTCTGCTTGCGAAACGCACAAGTACCCCTCTCCACGCAATGTTGCATATTTTGCCTCCTGCTCGAAGTTATATCCAGCAGGCGAGATATTAGCCCTATACCCCCCCCCCCCCCGGGGGTATGCAGGGCGCTCTTTTAAAGAGTGAAGATTGATGTACTCCGGCTCCATGGGCGTAAATACATATGTCTGCCTTCCATGGATAGGTTCTCTGCTCTATTAACAATCGCTTCTGTTCTGGTCATCATCCCTTATAGACGTGAATTAAATCTTAAAAATCCACCTGCATCGCGTACCGACACACCCGCGAGAGAGACGAGACAGCTCGCATATGATATGTGCAGCCCAACGTTCCGGTCCCTAGAGTATAATTTAGGCATGTCATACGTACTGTACCTACTCTAGTTCCTGATCTTCACTGTGAAGTAGGGTACATGTAGTTATAATACCGAGGGACGAGAGAATTGCATACATGAGCAGTAGGCACACAAGTAGCTAGACTACTCTATTATTCCTACTTGCATGATGGTATCACTGCCGCTACTACCACCATCAGGCCCTTGTATCTGTATGTACCTACATGAAGTAGTTATCTGTATCTCTGTATGGACAATTAGGGCGGAGTGCCTACATGTACCTCTGCACACAGCAGCCACCCGTCTCAAGCCCCTCCCTTCTCCCTGGGCCACAGCTGTACGTAGAGTGCGTACTCTACGGACAGGCAAGCATCATGTAGTATACGAACGACATAAATGACGATTTGCCTATTCTGTTTCTCTGTCACAATATGCACAAACAGATCATCACGGTTTTAGCCATCCGGCGAGTAGGAATAAAGCGCAAAGCGTAAAACAAAAACAAGAAAAATCCTACAGGTCAAAACACTCGTTTTTGGAACCAGCGATTGATAGTCCCACCCCACCCTCCACCTTAACCACCACCACCATCATCATCATCACCAAAAGAGTGAACCCTTACTCAGCTTGCTTAACTCTCCTCGAGCTCCCCATCACCCCTTGCAAAGCAAAATGTACACTTCATGTCGCGTTGGCCCATGCACACACCACACCCTTCCCCTTCAATAAATCACCCGTTATCTCCGATAAACTGAGTTTATCCGTCAACGACAACGAACCGCACCCCCCCCTGCTCTCAAGAGTTTCTCCGCGAATTGTGATTTTTAAACCCTAGTAGTTACTGCTGTGGTTACCAACCAAAACAAGTCTATCGCCTTTTTGACTTTTCGTCTCTTTGTTATTTGTTTTTTCTTGATATTCGGATGGGATGGATGCACCCTTACAGATCTGTTAGCAAGATAAGCTACCATCATATCAGCAATCAGAGATGGCAGCCTTGCTTGAAATGTGGCGGTGCTGTGCAATGCTCCGTGCATGAGGTGCAACGATCACGCCGAGAACAGAGCGATTCTCCAACGCCACATTTCCGCAATAATTCTACCGGAGGCTGTACGCCCACTAAATGTTTAATGTGCTGAGCTGATAGGAGTTCATCCCGGGGGATGGTCGCACGGTCCAAGTTGAAAGTTTCACGATTTGAGGTTGAGAAAGCACATGTGCTTGGCTACTATGCCTAGGCATACGTAGGTACATACTTGTTCTTATCTCCTTGCTTCTTTCTTTCTATTCGAAGCAGAAAGGAAAATAGTGAAATCGAGGCTGCATAAAATAATAAATACCATACAATGAAGGAATGAACCTCGGGGCCCCCAGTAAACGAGTTTCGTTGTATTTACTCCTCTCCCCATCTCGTCCCGGATAATTATCGTAGGGCGGAAATGTGATGATAAGTGATGTACCTACATGTACATTACTCAATTGCAAGGAAACTTTGAAGGAGAAGGCTTGAACATGCAGGTAAGTGTAAACTGGACTGGTCTAAGGCTGCGGATGCGTTAGGTAAAGGCGAATCAAAAATAGTACACCATTACTCCATACTCGAGCAAGTAATATATTCAGCTTTTATGCTTCATTCCTACATATATGCACTAGGTATAAGTATCTACTCCATACTTACTCTACTCTAGAAGTGGTCACATCTATGTATGTGCTACATGTTTTACATCTCGGCGGTTATACTCTAAAATGACCCCTGTGAAAACGGAGTGACATTTTCAAAAGCTAATAGGAAAACTGGTCGTATATGACAATAGAGTAATCCTTAAGCAAATGCAAAAGCAAAAGAAATCTAAAGCACCTCTCCAAAAATAAATTATAGGAATGAAATAACAAATTTTCCCAAAAAGAAAAGGTATCTTGGACACGGCATGTGGCGACCTCTTCAAAGGAAAAATTACAATTAATATCACATACCCTCTCGTGCTGCTCGTCTTCCCAAGGCTCTCTGAAGTGCTTCCTTACTGATATTCGGCAGGCCGCTGCCTCCTTGGGGATCCTTCACGACAGAGTATCGAATGGGCAGGTCCATTATCCCAGGCCATATATCCATCGGTAAATGGTCGCCTTGTTCCTCTTTGAAACCTTCCCGCTCCGCAAGATCCGCTACAAAAATATGCCGTTAGCTAGTCAAGCTTTCACTCCCAAACCTAACCCAAGGAATTGGTTTAGGGGTAGTCAAGAAACCCTTACCCTCATAAAGTCCTTGTAGCTTTTTCATTGCGTCTTTGACTATGTTATCCATTCCTGCAGCCACTCCTTTACGCCTCCCCACCTCGATAACCATGGCGTCGTATGCACCCATGAACCCTTCGTAAAAATCACCTAGTTGCCAAAGCTCATCAAGTCTTTCCTCCATAGCTCTAAAGTATCCATCTTGCTGTGTTTCAAATTCTCTAGTCGTACCAACATAACCTCCCAAGTTACCCTGAAATTCTTCAAACAGCGAGAAGTTATCATGAGCCTTGTTGGACAACTCATGCAATTTTTCAATATGTTTTCCAACATATGCTGAGATATTCTCCATTGTATCAAGTCTTTCCTTGAGCTCTGCGACAACATCATCGACTTCCCTTGCATCTCTTGCAAGTACTTTGTACATTTCAGCCTTTTCTTCTAAGGACATACCATCAGTCATACCGCTTTCCTGGTTGTGGGTATTTACGGCTTCGGAATCCCTCAATGCCTGTGAACACCGATCAAAATGCTGCGTCAGTGACTCTAGCAGCTGCGCCATTTCCTCGGCCTGTTCTTCAAGAGAATGGAGATACGGATGTATCGGCTCAGCCAAGCCATCCTCTTGATTGCTAGGGTCGGGAAGGTTAGAAAGAGATGTATCCAGGGCAGTCAGATCGGCATCGAATTCAGCAAGTGACATGGAGAGAGTGTCATGAGACTCCTAGAAACACTCCCGAAGATCCAAGATCAGCAAATCATATCTCGTACGACCCTGATTTAGACAGACGCAGGGCACAGATAAGAAGGGTGTGTCTGTACCTGCACCTGGTCAATCGAATGTCGCAATCTAGACTTAAGATTTTCAATCCCCTCATCATCGACAAAATCGTGCAACGTGCGAGCCTTTGTCATCGAGGTGGGGTCCTCGTTTTCGGGATTTGGTATGCTGAAGGCCGGATCCACTATAGAATTCCGGAGCACCTCCAGAGTTTGATTGAGCCTGTTGTCGGCGTTGTCCAAACCCGTCAACATTTTCTAGGTTTCCCGGGTCAGTCTCGGTTGATTCATACATTCCCACACACACATTTGACGCCTTCTGCCAGCAAAAAGACGAAATCGAGACGCTAGCTGGTTGAGCTTTGCCTCGCTGCAGCCCATAAAATCGGGAAAGAACAATCGAGGAGTGACATCGAACTGGAAAATACACGTGGGGCTTTTTAGAATGACAATGAAGGAAAAAAATGAAACAAACCTCAAACTCGGCTCTAGAAGTATCTCGAGTGCTGTGCATCATCCTGTTTATTTGGATCGCAACATTCAACTGATCTTTCAGGGCATTCCGCAAGAAGACACATCTTGAGGAGATGACCGTAGCTTCTTGCAAGGCAACTCTTGCGGAATTTACCAAGGTTTTTGCGCGAGCACAAAGCCCTATCGACGATAGAGAACGTTTAGCATCGAGAAACCATGTGGTCAGATCCACTGACGTGGAAGAACCTGCTGGGTTTGAGGGAAGATTGGGCTGCTGCAGGAGCGCCGGCGAAGCAGGAGACATGTTTATCAGTGTAGGGGACGGACGGTATTGAAACGCAGATAGATTGATTAATGCTATGTTATGTTATTCTTGCGCTGTGGTCTGCTTTTTGCTCCGATATTTTACTGATGCCTCTTTTCTTTATATTTTATTGAAGTTTGAGGGTGTGGATCCAAGATCAAGAGGGGATGATTCCTCTTTCTAACCCTTTCCTGCTCTCTCTTCCGTTGCCTGGGCGAGGGGGAGTAATGGAGGAGGGATGAGAGATGGACCGTACTGGGAGAGACGATTATTGAGAGGATGATTGGGGGTGGGGGTGTTGAGGGGCTGTGGAAAGGCTAGATCTCCAGCCGAGCAAGAGCTTGTCCCCAGGTACCGGTACCTCCACCTTCCTAGCTTTAGATGCTGGGTACTTGCTTGGAGCTATGGAGCTATGACTGCAACAGCTGCCCAGCCTTTCCCTTCCGTCACTGCGTTTAGGGTTTATTTGGGTGAGGCTGCGAGATGTTCAGATCTTCAAGCAAAGCACGCAAGTAGAAGACCAGAGTAGCAAGAAGACGCAATCCAACAGGATTGAAATTGTAGCACAGGCGGGATAATACACAACCAGTGGTATCTATTGTATCAGTCAGATCCTCCGTTCGTTCGTCTGCTCAGTCGTCGATATTCAGGTAGTACTGCCAGGCTCTGGCTTGCATCGGATAGCGCTGAGGAAAGTAGCTTGCGAGTGATGGTGCCATCGCCGAGAAAATGATGAGAACGTTGAAGTAACCTCGGATAACCCTAACCCAGGCCCGTAGCGGGCCTCTAACGTGCTTCTCGTCAACTAGCTAGGTGCTAGGTTCGCACATCATTAAAAACTCATCACCGCCTTCTTCTCTTTCTCTCAATTCATTGCAGTGATACTACTTACCGTTCAATCGATCAGTCAGTCTGTCGGTGCGTGAGTGTATATTCAAGGGTTCGTGATAAAGAAAATAAGGGTCAGGAAAGAAAGAAAGGGTTCAAAATATCGGAACATCAGTAACGTCACCTAAAACAACGTCATCCCGTCATCTCAACTCGAAGACGTCCTAACGTCTCTGTTTTCTATCCGGAGCTATCCAACCCCATATCGTTTTTTTCGACTCTCTTACCAACCGAATCCCTCCCCCTACCGCTTCCCCCCACGCTGCCCGGCCTTTTGTTACACACTTCACTTGGTCAACCTGGTTGGACGCCACAATCAACAAAAATGACGGTTGCCCCACAACGACGACATGCTTCACCTTTACCACAACCACTACAACCGATACTACCAGCACCTCCAATATCACCTTCTCAATCACTCAAACGGCCATTCGCAAGCACCCCCACACTTTCCACAAACGTCTTGTCCCTGACAAGGCCTTGTGAGAACGTACAGAGACCTCTTAAAAGGCTCAAAAGATCATCGGTTTTCAACGACAATTCCGCCGTCGAAATGGACGGCAGTGAGCCAGAACTTTATGCTGCTGCTATTCCGGCGGATACTGCTGAGTCAGTTAGGAAAGATGTCTCCCCCTTCCTTTCAAAGCATATCCCCGGGCAATATGCGCCGCAGGGATCTCAGCAGCAGCAGGATGGTCAACATGATCTGGAGGAGAAAGGAAACACCAAATTTTGTTATAGACACAGGCCAGATATCAAATGCAGGAGGCAAGCTGATGAGCCAACCATGGAAGAGCTGCAGAAGGTTTGCCCGCCAAGCTTACCCTGCTGCTTTGTGCATGCACAGTTGACTAATTCACGTTTTAAGGGGATGGAAACACTTCCATCTGCAGATCAACAGGCAATTACTGATGTCTGGTCACTTTTTTCTGCTGCTCCAGCGACACATCGAAACCTTATGCTGAGGGGCATTTTGACGCAATGCTGCTTCCCCCAGCTTTCAATGATCTCCGCTGCTCTACGAGAGCTAATTCGCATCGACTTCCTCAGCGCACTTCCACCAGAAATTGCTTTCAAAATTCTATGTTATCTTGACACAGCATCCTTGTGCAAAGCTGCACAAGTAAGTCACCGATGGAGGATGTTGGCCGATGATGATGTAGTCTGGCATAAAATGTGTGAGCAGCACATTGACCGGAAATGTGATAAGTGCGGTTGGGGGTTGCCATTATTGGAAAGAAAGAGACTGCGGATGACGAAAAGGCAGATGGAACGTCGAGCAAAAGAGCCCAATATCTTCACTACCGAAATCACAAGCGGAACTAAGGACCTCAATATTCATGGCAAACGTCCCAGCGGCCGTAACTCGCCGGATGTGGAGATGTTGCCGGTTATTTCACCCAAACGCACGTGTCAACGTGCTGTTGAAGTACCTCCTACAAGGCCCTGGAAAGATGTATATTCAGAAAGATACAAAGTTGAATCAAACTGGCGACGTGGACGATGCACAAAGAAGGTTTTTAAAGGTCATACGGATGGCATTATGTGCTTACAATTCGATGATGCCATTCTAGCAACAGGCTCTTACGATAGTACGGTTAAAATATGGGACATTGAAACCGGCAAAGAGATTCGAACATTGACCGGGCATGACTCTGGAGTTCGTGCCCTCATGTTTGATGACAGAAAGCTTATATCAGGTTCCCTGGACAAAAAGCTGAAAATATGGGATTGGAGAACGGGCAAATGCTTGTCTACTCTTCCGGGCCATACGGGTGGTGTCATTTGTCTCCATTTCAACGATAATCTCCTTGCATCTGGATCGGTGGATACAACAATCAAAATCTGGAACTTTGCGGATAAGAGCTGTTATGCGTTGAGGGGTCATAAAGATTGGGTCAACTCGGTTCGGATAGATACAGACTCCCGGATGGTCTTTTCGGCATCTGATGACCAGACGGTAAGAATGTGGGATCTAGATACCAAAGCCTGTGTCCGGGTTTTTGAGGGCCATGTGGGGCATGTTCAACAAGTGATACCCATGCAACTCCCTGGATATATGTCTCCTAAGCCGACTAAAGAGGATTCTTCTCAAAACTCTATACTTCCGCCCCACCAGCACTGGCAAGAATACCGGGATAAAAACTCACCAAATCCGACCACACGCCCCCGGGCTCCACCACCGGAAAAGATGATCACTGCGGCTCTCGATTCTACCGTGAAGTTCTGGGATGTGGCTACAGGCAAATGTACCAAAACCCTTTTCGGCCACATTGAGGGCGTGTGGGCTCTCGCCGCGGATTCCCTTCGGGTTATTTCCGGGTCGCAAGACAGGATGACCAAAGTGTGGGATGTCCGTACAGGACGGTGTCTACGGACAATAACGGGCCATCAAGGCCCGGTAACATGTGTCGGGTTAAGCGACTCCAACATGGTTACTGGAGGCGAAGATGGCGAAGCCAGGATGTATTGTTTCAAAAGCGAGGGAGATTGTGTACATGGCTGGAGTACTCCCCCAGATTTTGTTGGGAGCACTGATGCTGGAGGAAGTATCAGCTCCGAGGACTAATAGGTGCGTACGGATACCCGTTGATAATTTTCGACAAACTTTTTTCTTTTTCCTTCTTCTTTCTCTGAGCCTCCAAAAACACACGCTGTGGGGGACTGCTCATTATCTCCAATTTATTTTTCCCGTTGCTTAGGAACTTTTTCTTTTGTCATGCTCGCCGGTCTGGCTGTTTATCTATGGGTATTAACGGGTGCGACTGATCTTTTCTTTCTTGCTTTGGGGGTGCATATAGGGTTTTATTTATTGGATGACAATTTTGTTTATAATGGGGATTTTTTTTGTCTGTCGGTCTTTTTGGGTGCACTGTATTTTTTTTCCTTGGCGAATTGTGTGTGAAATAGAGCAAAAAAAAAATTGATATCCCCGGCGGGCCTTTTCAAAATATCCACTCTGTCCCCAAATTTTCTTTTCTTGCATGTGTTCCCTTCCCTGTTTTGGCCCCTTCGCACACATCTGGCCACATCTGGCTGGAAGAATGAGATGCGCTCCAAAGACGAAAGATAATGGATAGGGGGAGGGCATTTTCTTTTTGCTTTTTCACCAATATTTTTTTGTTGCTTACTCTATCCCAAATTTTGAGTAAAATAGTAGGAGCTTTCTTTCTTTCATTTTTTTTTTTGCTCATTCTCCTATGAGTTCAGGTTCGTAATCAGCGCGTGTACAAACAATAATATTACTCTCTCACTTTCTCATTTTCTCACTCTATCAAAACACCGTATCATCTCGTTGTGTTGCTTTCCTACTTCCCCCGAGAGAGCGCGCGGATATTCCGAATTCCCGGGCACGGAGCAAGTTTCTTAATCCGAGCCAGGCAGTTATCCGGGGGCAGGTTGGCTGGTACTTTATCTCAATCTCAATTGTGTGTTTCATAAAAAAAAAAAATTCTGTATTGGGCCAGTTATGATGATATGTTCCGCCGTGTAACAGTAGTAGTCAGTAAGTGGATGTGGTTAGTATCTAGCTTGTAGTACTACATGTAGTAATAGTGGTGGTTAGGGTAAGTGGTGAAGGGGGTGCAAGTAGAGTTTGGCACGCTGTTTCGGTTAGCTAGATTGCGATAGCTAGGCCAGCTAGGGTCGGAGAGTAGAGTAGAAATTATTTAGATAATCACGGCACGGGTTTCGTCAGTACTCTACGGACAGACAGGTACCTTGAGGCTTGCAATTGAGCAGGGTACATACGCTCTCCATAAGGACGCCGCCCCCAGAAAAAGGGAGGGAAAGACAAGGGAAGGGGAGGAAGTGAAGGGAAGGGAAAGGGAAGGGAGGGAGGCACCGCAAAGCATGGACTGGAAGCATACGCATACCTAGCCTGGCTACCTACAGTATCTACTTCACCTTCCATGTCCTCTCCCGCCTGTCTTCCATTCACTCACTCACTCTACTCGGAGTCTCTCCCTCTGGTTACCTTCCTAAGCAGCTAAGCTACTGGATAAGAGATGAGACTAAGAGACAGATTACGGTGGCTGCGTATGGGGAAACACGCCTGGCGCTGAACTACTCGTAGTTTTTTTTGGCGTTTCCGGACGCAACTGCTATTGCATACACAGAAAAAACTCGCCAAGGCTATCTTTTGTATGGCATGCAATAGTAGTTGCGTCCGGAAACGCCAAAAAACTATGAGTACATACTCAGTGCTTCTTGTTGTTCTGCGCCTTCTTCCACCGACTTACCGCGGCCTATCTACATGTATGTCTACATGCATGCAGGGAGGCGACGACAAAAGAAAGAAAGAAAGAGAAAAAAGCAAGAGATCCAGCATACTCCAGATGCCTAGGCACATACATGAGATATTCGAGAAGGAAACCCCGTGTTCTTCCATGGATGGTCGGTACATCACAGTTCAGTTCAGAGGCAGGGCAGGGCGCAATGTGCGCGGCGGGCATGGCATGTGTGCTACACTTGACGCACACATTACAGAGCGAGCGCGAAAAAATGATGATGATTGTCCTTTTTTTATAATCCAGAAAATCAATAAAATGGAAATGGAAATAAAAAAGGATATTTAAATAAAAACCGTTGGAATTTATCGGGTTTGCCGTCGTAAGCGGACGAGATTCTAATAACGCGGGGTGTGGGGGTCATCAGGCATATTAGATTGATTCATTTTCCTGACTGCGTAGAGTATGTAGTGCGTGGTGGTGATTATGGTGGTGATGGTGATGGTTGATGGTGGTTGAGTAAGTTACTCGTTGCTGTCGTTGCTGTCCGGAACAGATATCTCGAGAGAGCGAGTGAGCGCCCGAGTGAACGAGTGAGTGGGTGAACATCGTGGCTTGATTGGCGGCAGCCCGACATCGTCTCGCCACCGCAGCCATTACTGACTACACCAAACCGGGCCAGCCAGGTACTCTACATTACATGAGGTAGAGTACGAGGTGCCTCTGCCCTGTAAGAGCCCGAATCGAAGGGTCAGAATCGTCAGTGCTGGGCGGGCGTGTCTTGTCTTCTTCACCCCTTCCAGCAACTCTACACTCCATCAGGCAAGAAAACAAAAAAAGAATTTGATAAAGGCCATACCTACAGCGCCTTATCGCGCGCGGCCCATTGTCTGTCTTTCCTAATACATCCAGGGCTAGGGGTATGTTGTATCTTCCTCTTGCCCATCACCGAGATCTGCAACATGCCTCCTTGGCATCCACAGGAACAGGCCCTGGACAGAGAGACAAGACAGACAAGACAGAACGAACAGACAGGACAGGGCAGAGGCAGAAGGCAGGGCCGAAAACCTTTCAGACCCTGATCCTGATCCTGATCGGCCCCTCGACCACCCCCTGTTGAGCACCTTATCTCGTTTGCATCAGGTCTCACTCGCACTGCCAACCTTTTTCTTTTATGATTGTTCCAGAAGGAAGGGAAACCTCGACCCTCTCTCACCTCATTCAACAACAAAAATAAAACATAGAGATGATGATCCATGCGCAGCGACGCAACGCAACGTACTCCCAGGTACTGTAATCAAAATAAGTTCCCGGAAAATAAACAAAATATGGCCACTTCTCTTACGTTGCTGTCTTTGAACGGTCGCCCGGCACTCCCCAGAGTACGAGAATCCCATCCCCCTACGGTACGATCCCATCCCACCCCCCTGCCCTGTGATAACTTAACCCACTTAATTCTTACCTCACTTCCATACCTTACTCTACGCAGGAGGAGTAAGCAGCGCGGTAGGCGTATAGCGTAAACTTGTAAAGTAGGCAGGCGCCATGTATCTGCAGTACCTAGGTATACATGTAGGCAGCAGATACTCTACCCAGATCGCCCCATCCAACTGTCCGGATCCGTGCACTGCACTGTATCCACCCATCGTTGTTCCTGTTCAGAATCAGAATCCTGCCGTGGTTGCTTTGGTATACCTGTGGGTTAGGTTAGTTAAGCTACCGACTACATGTAAGCACGTCTGCGCTGGTTGCGTAGCTACAAGACTGGCCTAGCACGTAGAGTCGCTACTCCAGCGAGCTAGTCCCAGAAACCCTGCAGGATTCAAATTGAGTACCTACACTTAGCTGTAGGTACACGTAGTAGCATGTAGCAGAAGTATTGCCATTTTTGAAATACATGTCAACAACGCCCTTCCCCCCAAAAGCGGTTTGAGGGAGGAGGAGCCCGCTAAGCTTCTCGGGAAACCCCCCCTTCTTCTTTCTTGACAAAGGACAATTTGCAGCCCCGTCTAAAGCGGGGTACCGATTGGCGGGATAGCAGACAGACAGCTTGGGGGGGGGGGGGAGAATGATAATTGCATTATCATTTCGACGACGGCGGTAACTACATCTACATAATTCGTGGTGAGACACTAGTTCCATCTACTCGCAGCAGGTAACAAGTACCCGAAAATGCACGTCCTAATCTGCAATTTCCATTGGAGTAGAAGTCAAAAATACACCAAAAACTTGCAGCTGCATATTCGGGTACTTCATGCCTGTCGCGAGTACTATCAAAGAAGCTGTAACAGAAAAAAGAACTACTACTCTGGAAGCAGGAAGGATCTAGGCCCGTATGAGCTGGCTTCTCGATGTCTTGAAGAAGGCCCCTCCTCTTCTAGAGTAGCTACTTGGACTACATAGCTAGCTCCCCCCCCCCCCTTCCCAAGCAGTCGTTGCTTGAATTCAACCCGCAATCAACCACCTAGGCCTCGCAAATGCGATGAGCTCCGCAATCTTGCGTTGACAGGTGTTTGGGAAGCGGAGGTGCCGGTACGGTACGGTAAAAGGTACCTGAACGGTAATTTAATCAAGATCAAGAAGGTGAAGGAGCAGGGGAAAAAACCACGCACCCCATCAGATTGAATTCTGTTGGTAGACACACACACAGTTCAATCAAAAACCTTTTTGGCTGGACTAGCTAGTCATTTAAGGAATTTCTTTTCGCTAAGGTATATATGGGAGCAGCAGGGACGGCATGTGGTGTTGTGTCCGTGCACTGTTCTGTTCTCTTACATTGTGCCCATAGAGTAGAAAAAGAGCTGAGGTTGGTTTGTGCGTGGTTTTTTTTGAGGTTTTTATTTTATTAGAGATATGGTACACAGGTAATATTGGCAACTGTCTAAGCCTGAGCCTCCCCCGGGCCCAGCCGGTACGAACTCCACGGTTGCGGCGTACATACGGGAACATCGAAATGTAGAGACCTCATGTCTCTCATAAAAATCCAATTATCTGTGATGATCGGGAAACGGAATCGTCACGGACCGCCGCTGCAATTTGCAGCACGTACCTACATTATTTTTTCCTTTTTTTTCTTTCCTTTGTCCATCATCCAACCCCTCCCCCTCCTTAAAAAAATCCCACTTTGTTGGCTCTTTAAATTGCAACTAGTAGCTGTTCACGAGAGCGTTGTTCACCGCGCGGTTGTGGTCATCCGGGCTAGCTGCTAAGCTGCCCTCTGTATGGCCCGTACAACAGCAACAGCTTCCTTTCGTTCCTCTTCCCCGGTTTGAGACTCAATTGACTCTGTCCCCTGTCCCGTCGTTGCTGTTGTTTCTCCACGATCGATGCATGGAATGCAATAGGTGACGTTTTTTGTTGACAATTCTCGACGAGGCTGACCAGGAGGTTACCCGTCCGGAAGATAATCGAATGTTTCAGGAACGGCCTGAATCCAAACCAAAGCTGAGATACAGATACAGACCACCGCCCCGCCGCCGCCGCCGATTTCAATTAACCAATATATATTGGCCAATTTCTCTTACCCAATAAGCTTACTGGGACCCGATGCGTAGGGTTTACCATGCGATGCTGCTCGATGCTCCGGACTGACTAGCTAGCCTTTCCGCTCAGGAACGTATGTATGTTAGTACCTACCTGGGTAGTTACTCGTCTTCTCGAATAAACGATGTCCACGATCTCGCACCTGCCGAGAAAATGGGCCTGCTCACGCGGCCTCTTCTGCTGGGGAAGAATCCTAGGCTGTAGAGCACCACGCCCCAAAAGTGGCTCGAAAAGGTAGCCCTTGACGTGATGTCTTTATGGCGCGGTAGTTCTAAACGACGGCCCAACGACGAACGAACGAACGATGTATGTCCAAGGCGTAAACTATATCGTCAAGGTCAGGGAATCTCGGAATAGATTGGAGTAGTAACCCAGGACTCGAAGAATGCTGCATTTGCCTTTCATGCACCCCGCAAATTTCAAAAACGCCTGGTATTTCGAAGAAAACTACATACAGGGACTTGAGATCGAGAAGGTGATGCCTGGATCGATGTCAAGACATGTAGTGGTTGGTTCGAGTAGTGGGGTTTGGAAATCTCCACCAGTGTGTAAACCGAATGTGCAACTTTTGTGGTCACACCTTCCAGATAAAGCTATGACGTTGTGTTCGCTGTAAATTGTTGCTGTTGCCCTCATTTCCCACGTTACTCAGAAATACGCACATGGCGGAGATCTTGTCACCGAAATGGATTACCTAGCTTGAGCCAAACCAATGACAGAAGCCCCGGTTTCTCATTATTACAGATCTCATCAAGCCACACAAAACTTTAACGGAAATGGGTACCGTTCCCGTGAGCGTGGGGTTGTTCCATGGGTACAGAGATGTTTCGTTTATCCTTTTCTTTTTTTCTTGCGTTTTTTTTGCTTTTTGCATCGATCCAACCCATCACACTTAACTTGACGTGGATTCGTAAACCAAGGAACCTCGGTTTCTGAGACAGCGTGGGAGAGATGGGGCTGGCTCTCCCGATGGGGCGGCCATCTGAGGGACATGGAAAAACTGTTTTAGTACCCTAGGAAAGAAAAAAACACCGCCCTGGCCGTGTAGATCTGGGTTTCATGAACGATCGGGAAGCCGAGTCGGCGGCGGCGGATGTCGTGGGATCTTTTCGTTTCGTTTCCATGGGGAACATTTCCTCTGTTCCTCTTTTTTCTTTTTCCTCTCTATCCAAAGTACCCACTCTAAGCGCTAGAATCGCTGTTACCACAGGCTGTAATAACTATTGACTTTTAGTCATTAATGATTAAGTGTCCCACGTCGTGAAGCTACCTCACCTGAGGTAAGTCAACTCCCAGCTAAGTAGGTATCGCATCGTAGGGATACAAGGGGGAGGAAACATCTGACGACACGACGATATCATTGGTACCCGCACCAGGTGAACCACCAACCAGCCATCGGTCATTTTGTTTTGTTTTAATTCCCCCTTCCGGGTCATGTGGTCTGATTCGTTTTAAAGTTTCTTCTGTCATTGCCGAGATAAAAACTCCGATGATGGCTCAGATCAGCTCTGTGGATATTTGGGCATGGGGTGAGAGAGCTAGCTGCGATATTCGAATCTGTCATACAAGTAACCAATCTGGCCCACCACCCCGTGGGGAGGGTAAACGACGATACTTTCAGCCGATTTGCAACGCAACGAGGGGGGAGGTCATCGCAATTGGCCCAGTATCAAACAGCTAGGTTTCTTCTGGCCGTTGACGGCGGGCACATGAGGACTTTCTGAAGCTGGATGGGGCTATATGGAGCGTCCCGCAAGCGTATGTACCTAGAGTAACTAACATTCATCACCACCATCACAGTTAGCTGCTGATGTTGCTACTCTAGAGTATATACTAGCTAGCTCTGTAAGCTAGGGTGCCAGGTTTCTGCAAGGTGAAAAAGGAGTACGGGAAAAGAGGGATCTCAACTGCAACTGCACTGCACTCAACCGTCTGGGGTAATACTGAAAAGAGTATAGGAAGGACGACCAAATGCGGTCTTGGACATGAATGATCGTACCGTAGATTGAGTATATCTCCCGTGACCAGGGTAGCGGTGCTGACAAGTGGCCTTGGATAAGTTGTATGCACATGGGGGTCGAGTAGAGTAAAGTAAGTGTGTGCTCTAGAGCATGTATGTGGAGAGTAACGCAAGCTAATGTACCAGCAGCTCAAGGTTTTTGGATAAGTACAAGTATGGATATGGATACGGAATATGGAATATGGAATATGGATATGGATATAGGACATGAGGTGGGAGTAGCAGTAGTAGTAGAATAGTAGCAGTAGGTAGTACAGGATTGTATGTACTCGGCTTTCAACCGTCGGGCATAAAGTAGATGTAGATATTTTACCCAGCACCCGTCCGCACCGGACCGGGCGGGAGTAACAAATACCTACACACTCCTCAGCACCGAGTCAATCCCGATCCCCACACTACATCATCTCAACCCAAATGCCCGTGAATTGATCCAACGAATCCCACGATGTCACCACAGCCGGTGGCATGTTTGTAATCAGGACCCTACTGGTACGGTTAGATAGAGGCTTTGGCGACGGGGATGCTGTGCTGCGGGCAGGGACCCCCCTTCACTCCAACGGTGACGCGATGTCTCAAGCGTGTCTTGCACACGCTATGGCTGGCTACCACAACATCACAACCAACATGACGTTGACCGCACCCCGGATCCGCGTTTTTGGTCGAGACATGACGATAGCTTTAGGGGCTTTTGTTGGGGAACCCCTCGACGCTTAGTGGGGGAAGAAAGAGGTAGAGGACGAGGGCACAGGCACCACAGACACCACCACTACCACCACAGGCACACCACCACCACCAGGCACACCACACCTTACACACGAAGGCACGGGACCCCATGCTTTTCACCCCCTCACCTCACGTCCTCTTACCCCCTCGATCCCTTCCCCACTCGCTCGCTCCCTTTTACTCAACGTCCACTCACTTGAGCCTCCCTCCCTGGTCGGTTAGGGTAAAACGGTCGAAAGCTTGACTGACAGCTTAGAGTGCCCGGTTCATAGCCCGGTTCGTAAACCTTTTCTGGACGACTCCCACCCCCCCTTACTCTACTTTACTTAGCTGGACCGTGCTATACGGTAAGCTGTCCCGTAGAAGCAAGGGTGAGGGAGTAAGGTATGAAGTAAGTGAAGAATAAATTTCAATTCTTCCCGGTGTCGTCATAGGTAGACAAGGCATCCAAAATAATTTTTTTATATTTGTTTTCTCATCTACCAGCTAGGGTAGGTAGGGAGGGTAGCTGTGGTGTTTGTGTCGCTGTTTAGTTACCGCTTCCCCAAACCCCGGATACGAACCACCGAGAGAAAAAATAA